AGTCTTGTTCTTGGCCAATCTAGCTAAAAGTTTGTCAATTTTGTTGATCTTTTTAATTAACCGTGTTTAGTTTCATTGATTTTTCTCTATTTTTTTATTCTCTATTTCATTAATTTGACCATACTCTGCTATTTCTTATTTATTATTATTTGGGGACAGAGTCTCACTCTGTCACAAGGCTGAAGTACAGTGGCGTGATCTCAGCTCACTGCAACCTACCGCCTCCCGGATTCAAGTGATTCTCCTGCCTCAGCCTATCTAGTAGCTAGGACTACTGGCACTCACCACCATGCCAGTTAACTTTTGTACTTTTAGTAAAGACAGGGTTTTACCATGTTGGTCAGGATGGTCTCAATATCTTGACCTCGTGATCCGCCCACCTCAGCCTCCTAAACTTTGGGGATTATAGGTGTGAGCCACCAGGCCCAACCTATTTTCTTATTTCTATTAGTTTTAGGGTCAGTTTGCTTTTCTTGTTCCAGTGTCTTAAGGGGGAAGGTTAAGTTATTGATTCAAGATCTTCTTGTTAATATAGTCACTTAAGACAATACATTTCACCACTTTAGCTGCATCCCATAAATTCTGGTGTGTTGTACTTTCATTTTAACTCATTTCAAACTGGTTTCTAATTTCTATTGTTATTTCTTCTTTGACCTACTTGTTAATTAATAGAATGCTTTTAAATTTTCTACATATGGCCGGGTGCGGTGGCTCACACCTGTAATCCCAGCACTTTGGGAGGCCGAGGCATGTGGATCACCTGAGGTGAGGAGTTCGAGACCAGTCTGACCAATATTGTGAAACCCCGTCTCAAAAAAAAAGTTTTTTTCTACATATTTGTGAATTTTCAATAGTTTCTTCTGTTGCTTTTTTTTTTTTTTTTTGAGACAGAGTCTTGCTCTGTCGCCAGGCGCTAGGCTGGAGTACAGTGGTGTGATCTCGGCTCACCGCAACCTCCACCTCCCTGGTTCAAGCAATTCCCCGGCCTCAGCCTCCCATGTAGCTGGGACTACAGGCTTATGCCACCACGCCCAGCTAATTTTTTTTTGTATTTTTAGTGGAGACAGGGTTTCACCATGTTGGCCAAGATGGTCTCGATCTCTTGACCTCGTGATCCCAAAGTGCTGGGATTACAGGCTTGAACCACCATGCCCAGCCTTTTTTTTTTTTTAAAAAAAGGTGGGGTTTCACCATGACAGCCAGGCTGGTCTTGAACTCCTGACCTCAGGTGATCCACACCTCGCCTCCCAAAGTGCTAGGATTACAGGCGTGAGCCACTGCCCCCAGCCCTTTTTCTTTTTTTTTTTGAGATAGATTCTCGCTCTGTCACCAGGCTGGAGTGCAGGGCGTGATCTCAGCTCACTGCAACCTCTGCCTTCCAGGTTCAAGCGATTCTCCTGCCTCAGCCTCCCAAGTAGCTGGGACTACAGGCACACACCACCAAGCTCAGCTAATTTTTGTATTTTTTAGTAGATACAGGATCTCACTATGCTGCCCAGGCTGGTCTGGAACTCCTGAGCTCAAATGATACTCCCGCCTCAAGCTCCCAAAGTGCTGGGATTACAGGCATGAGCCACCATACCTGGCCTCTCTGTTGCTTTCTAATGTAATTCCATTGTGGTCAGAATATGTATTTTGCATAATTTCAGTCCTTTTGAAATGTGTTAGGCTTGTTTTGTGGCATTACCCTGGAGAGTATTCTATGTGCAATGTGCGCTTGAGAAGAAGATGTATTCCACCATTGTTGTATTCTGTAGATATCTAGTATGTCTAGTTGGTTCATCGTATTGTTCAGATCTTCTCCTTTTCTCGCTGGTCTTTTGTTTTGTTTAATTTTATTTATTTTATAGGAACAGGGTCTCCCTTTGTTGCCCAGGCTGGTCTGGAACCCCTGGGCTCAATCCGTCCTTCCACTTCAGCCTCCCAAAGTGCTGGTATTACAGGTGTGAGCCACCATGCTGGACCTTATCTTGGTTATTCTATTCATTATTGAAAATAGGATTCAGGGCCGGGCACGGTGGCTCAAGTCTGTAATTTCAGCACTTTGGGAGGCCGATGCGGGTAGATCATGAGGTCAAGAGATCGAGACCATCCTGGTCAACATGGTGAAACCCCGTCTCTACTAAAAATACAAAAAATTAGCTGGGCGTGGTGGCGCGTGCCTGTAATCCCAGCTACTCAGGAGGCTGAGGCAGGAGAATTCCCTGAACCCAGGAGGCGAAGGTTGCGGTGAGCTGAGATGGTGCCATTGCACTCCAGCCTGGGTAACAAGAGTGAAACTTCGTCTTTAAAAAAAAAAGAAAATAGGATTGAGGCCGGCACAGTGGCTGACACTTGTAATCCCAGCACTCTGGGAGGCCAAGGAGGGTGGACCACCTGAGGTCAGGAGTTTGAGACCAGCCTGATCATATGGTGAAAACCCTGTCTCTACTAAAAAATACAAATATTAGCTGGGCATGGGGTGGGGGCCTGTAATCCCAGCTACTTGGAAGGCTGAAGCAGGAGAATCGCTTGAATCTGTGAGGTGGAGGTTGCAGTGAGCTGAGATTGCACCACTGTACTCCAGCCTGGGTGACACAGCAAGACTCTGCCTCTAAAAATAAAAATAAATAAGTAAATGAAAGTAGGATATTGAAGTCTTGAACTATTCTTGCGAATTATCTATTCTTCTTTTGTAACTGAGCACCCCTGTTCTAAGAGATAGTTTATTTTTAAAATTATTTTCTCTTCCTTTCTCCTTCCCTACTGTTCCCTACTTCCTGCTTAGCATTTTAGAAATATAAAGAGAGGACTGGGTGCAGTGGTTCACACCTGTAATCCTGGCACTTTGGGAGGCCTAGGTGGGGGGATCACAAGGTCAGGAGTTTGAGACCAGCCTGGCCAATATGGTGAAACCCTGTCTCTACTAAAAATACAAAAATTAGCCAGGTGTGGTGGCACAGGCCTGTAGTCCTAGCTGCCAGAGAGTCTGAGGCAAAAGAATCACCTGAACCCAGGAGACAGATGATACAGTGAGTTGAGAGTGTGCCACTGCACTCCAGCCTGGGCAACAGAGTGAGACTCCACCTCAAAAAAAAAAAAAGGAAATGCAAAGAGAGGCAAGGTGAGGTGGCTCATGCTTGTAATCTCAGCATTCCGCCGAGGTGGGCGGATCACTTGAGGTCAAGAGTTCAAGACCACCCTGACTGACATGGTATAACTCCATTAGCTGGGCGTGGTGGTGCGCCCCTGTAGTCCCAGCTACTCAGGAGTTTGAGGTGAGAGAATCACTTGAACCTGGGAGGTGAAGGTTGCCTAAGTGACAGAGCAAGACAGTGTCTCAAAAAAAAAATGCAAAGATAGCCTTTGACCCCTCCTTCACCAGGCACTCCCTACAGGGCAAGTTCCCATAACTGCTGGAGAGATAAGAGACAGATTTAGAGACCAAAGCACGCCCCTTATAGGACTTTCACCTGGGAACTTTCACCCTCCAGGGGTCACCTGGGAACTCACAGTCACCAGGAGGGCAAGTGGAAAGCGTGCTCACTTGGCCACTTTTACAACTTCTTCTCAGGAAGGTGCCAACTCAGCTGCCCAGTAGATAAGACATCAAGTTCACAGGGGAACCCCTGCCCTTGCTGGCTCTGTACCTTACCTCCTAAAAGTGCCCACTTTTTGTTCCAGAATTGAAGTGGCACATTTAAAGCCAGGACATGTTGTGCCCCCTCCTCAAGCTAGCTTCAGAATAAATTCACTTTCTTTTTGGTACCAGACCTTGCTCATGGTAACTGGACCCTGCAAAGCAGCCAACATGCTTTCCAGATGCACTTTCAATTCTGTCAGCTTTTCCTTCATGTATTTTATAAAGGGCTCTGTTGTTAAATATGTATGTTTATGATTATTATGTCCTCCAGATGGATTATTGATCCTCTTAGTGGAAAAAACTCAGTTTCTTTCACACTGCTCTCATAACACACTTTTTTTTTTTTTTTTTGAGACAGTCTTACATTATCATCTAGTCTGGAGTGCAGTGGTGCCATCTTGGCTCACTGTAACCTCTGCCTCCCATGTTCAAGTGGTTCTCCTGTCCCAGCCTCCCGAGTAGCTGGGATTACAGGAACAAAACACCACGCCCTGCTAAGATTTTTTTGTATTTTTAGTAGAAACGAGATTTCACTGTCTTGACCAGACTGGTCTTGAACTCCTGGCCTCAAGCGGTCTGCTCACCTCAGCCTCTCAAAGTCCTGGGATAACAGGCATGAGCTATCGCGCCCGGCTCACAACACACTTCTGACACAAGCTGTGTGAGGATTTCTCCCTGCCCCAGGAAGCAATCAGTTCTGCACGCAGGCTGCTTCCCCTTTTGCCCTCTGGGAGCAGTAGCTCATATCCCAGCACTTTGGGAGGCCAGGGCAGATCGCCTGAACTCAGGAGTTTGAGACCAGCCTGAGCAATATGGTGAAACTCCTGTCTCTACCAAGAAAACAAACAAAACAAGACAAAATTAGCTGGGTGTGGAGATACACACCTTGTGGTTCCAGCTACTCAGGAGGCTGAGGCAGGAGAATCACTTGAGCCCAGGAGGTAGAGGTTACAGCAAGCTGAGATTGAGCCACTGCACTCCAGCCTCCGCCACAGAGTGAGACTCCATCTTAGAAAAAAGTAAATGCAACCCTGTCTTCCCTGCTCCTGATCCTCCAGTGGCTTCTACCCAGCAATGGGCTGTGCTTCCTCTGTGGCTGACATCCATCATACAAGAAAGGGTGTGAGATGCTTCATAATGAGTAACTCCTGGTTAATGGATATATTCACATACAGAGTTGCCTCCTCATCCAGGCCACGAGGAGCTCAGAGCACTGTTGACTTTAGTGGCATCTGCCGGCCCCCTTGTAGGTTCAAGCCTCCGCCTTGGGAGAGCCAGGAGGACCCCTTGGACAGCAGCCATCATCAGGAAGCTTCTGCACTTCACTCACCTTCTCCCCCAGCCGTACCCGATTTCAGTTTCTCCTCCTCTTTTGCAGTCAATGCAGACCCTGCAGGACCTGCTCACTGATCTTCATGCACTCCAGGTCACCGTAAAAGCACTCAGGAAGGACGTGGACACGCTGAAGAACATGCTTGACAAGGTTGTCCCTCCCCAGCATCCTCTTTGCCAGCTGTGACACTCAGGCCATAGGGGGTTGGATCGATGAGGAAAATCTAGGAAGCTTACTCTTAGGCCAAGAGTGCAGCTGTGAGGGCATGCTCACGTGGCCCCGCCACTTGGCCAGTGCCACTGAGTTCTCTGTGACCCCTCCATGCTTCCTTTCTTTTTTTCTTTTTCTTTTTTTTGAGACAGAGTCTCACTTTGTTACCCAGGCTGGAGTGCAGTGGCACGATCTTGGCTCACTGCAATGTCTGCCTCCTGGATTGAAGTGATTCTCCTGCCTGAGTAGCTGGGATTACAGGCGCACACCACCATGCCCAACTAATTTTTGTATTTTTAGTAGAGATGAGGTTTCACCATGTTGGCCAGGCTGGTTTTGAACTCCTGACCTCAGGTGATCATCCCACTTCGACCTCCCAAAGTGCTGAGATTACAGGTGTGAGTCACCACACTTGGCTGACCCTTTCATGCTTTCTACCCCACTGTGTTAAGACATTAGTTATAATTGACAGAAATCAAGTCATCCTGGATTAGGCAAAATAACAGACTTATTGTCTCATTTACTAAAAGGTCCAGGGAAGGCCAAATCTAGGTACTCATGCAGTACTGATATCTCTCAGTGAGGCTTTCCTCTCAGTTGGCTTCATTCTCAGGCAGGTGTTCCCCAAGTCTTGGCAATGCCAGCCTTGTATTCCACCAACTTAGCAAAAAGAACACCTCTTCCCCTCCTGGAAAGCTCTGTCCACACAGAAAGTGGAATAATCACAGTGCAGGCATGCATATGACCTTCTGTAGCCAAAAACCATCCACCAAGTATGTTCTCACACCCTACCATGAATGGAAGGATGTGGAGTCCCTGAGAATCGAGGCAGCTTCCCCCATCACAACTGAGGAGTCACAGCTGGCCAGCTCTCCACATCCTCAGGTTTAGCAATTTCCCCCAAATAGCGTAATTTTCTGTATTATCCCAGCTTCACAGGTCGGGGCCTGTATGTGATCATCTTAGCAACTGTGGGAGCTTCAGTCATGGGCTGGATGGCTCCCATCTAAGCAGAAAGGGCGCTGTCAAAAGCTGCATTATGAGCTACTCAATAGGGCCCCTTAGAAAAAGCTGTTAGAAATCCGGGCGCTGTGGCTCACGCCTGTAATCCCAGCACTTTGGGAGGCTGAGGCGGGCAGATCACTTGAAGTCAGGAGTTTGAGACCATCCTGGCCAACATGGTGAAACCCTCGTCTCTGTTAAAAATACAAAAATTAGGCAGACGTGGTGGTGAGCATCTGCAACTCCAGCGACTTGGGAGGCTGAAGTGGGAGAATTGCTTGAATCAGGGAGTGGGAAGTTGCAGTGAGCCGAGATGGAACCACTGCACTCCAGCCCAGTGACAGAGTGAGACTCTGTCTCAAAAAAGAAAGAAGTAAAAGAAAAACAATGCCAATGCCTTTTTGAGCTGTCTCTAGATTTTTTTTTTTTTTGAGATGGAGTCTTGCTCTGTCGCCCAGGCTGCAGTGGCACGACCTTGGCTCATTGCAACCTCCACCTCCCAGGTTCAAGCTATTCTTCTGCCTCAGCCTCCCGAATAGCTGGGATTACAGGTACACACCACCACACCTGGCTCATTTTTGTATTATTAGTGGAGACAGGGTGGTCTAATGTTGGTCAGGCTGGTCTCAAACTCCTGACCTGGTGATTTGCCTGTCTCAGCCTGCCAAAGTGCTTTTGCCCATTCAAGGCTCTGGGAAGTCCTACAGTACATAAACCTGTTGAAATGCTTTATTTATTTACTTATGAGATGAAGTCTTGCTCTGTTGCCCAGGTTTATGTGCAATAGTGTGATCTCAACTCACTGCAACCTCTGCCTCCCAGGTTCAAGTGATTCTTGAAGTCAGGAGTTTGTAATCCCAAATTAGCTGGGATTACAGGTGCATACCACCAGGCCCAGCTAGTTTTGTTATTTTTATATATTTTTTTTTTTGAGACAGAGTCTCGCTTTGTCACCCAGGCTGGAGTACAATGGCACGATTTCTGCTCACTGCAACCTCTGCCTTCTGGGTTCAAGTGATTATCCTGCCTCAGGAGAATTCCGAGTAGCTGGGATAACAGGCACACACCACCTGGCCCAGCTAATTTTTGTATTTTTAGAGAGATCGTGTTTCACCTGTTGACCAGGCTGCTCTCGAACTCCTGACCTAAAGTGATCTACCCCCGCTTCAGCCTCGGAAAGTGCTGGGATTACAGGCGTGAGTCACTGCACCCATCCTGAAATGCCTTTTAGCCCAGCATTTCCCAAATTCGTTTTCTCATGGAACTCTTTCCCACTGTCTAGGAAACACTGGCTTCGGAACCCGTTCTTCCTCCTCAAGCGCTTAGTCTCTTAGAGCCGCGGGAAGAGGCAGGGGTGGGACAGAACCTGGAGCCCCAGTCCACAGACTTGCTTCCCTTTACAGATACACCCAGAAAGAATGGGTATGTTCGCTGAAGACTTCAGAATCCAGAACCGGAAGATGGTCGCGCTGCAGCCGGAAGTGGTAAGGGCCACGATCCCCGCCTTCCCCTATCTCCCGTGTCCTGGGTGCTGAGGGTAGGGAGGGGCAAGGAGAACACAGCCTGGAAAGGTTTCTTTGGGGGTGTGGGGAGCACTGCCCCCTCCAGGTTCACACCCCTCATTGTCCACCTCCACCCCTCATTGTCCACCTCCACCCCTCATTGTCCACCTCCACCCCTCAGGCTTCTCTCCAGAACAAGGTTCAGACCATCCCCAAAACCGAGGACATGGTGCTCTGGAGTGGCCTCCATGATGCCATATTCACCTCAGTGAGTAAGGAAGGAAGGAGAGGTTAGCGGAGGGTTGGGGACAGCCTTGGGAAGATGGGGAGCAGGTGGGCGGCTGAGAGTAGGAGGTGGGGCTGAGAGCCAGCTGAGCCCCTCTGCCCCCTCTTATACAGGAAATTGGTTCATCATACCTGGACTTCCCCCGACTGTGGCAGTCTCTGGAGCAGCTCCCAGAGGCTGCCCTGACCCAGACCGCCGAGTACCTTGAAGCTACTCGTGCCATCCACGTCTCCGAGCCCATCCAAAATCCCCAGCTGCTGCAGACTGTCTGGCATTATGAGGTCCCAGAGCTCCTCCCAGAGGAGCCATCTGCCCAAGCAGTTTCACTCAGCAGTGCCCAGGAGTCAGTGCAGCCTCCGGCCCTCACACCTGAGTCTTCACCTGGGCATGCAATTGAATTTGTACCTGGGCCTGAACCCGCGCCAGGGCTGGAGCCAGAACCTGTGCCCAGACTGTGGTCTGTGGTGGGGCCCAGTGTGACACCTGGGTTCTTGCCAGCACCTTGGCCTGTGCTGGGACCTGTGCCTGCCCCAGGAGCCTGCCCTTCACCTCCAGGAGACTGGCCTGCACTCCCAAGACGCTGGCCTCTTCCCCAAGGCTTGCCCGGGCTGGGCTCCTGGCCTTTCTGGGACATAGGCATCCTGCGGCCACCTCAGCCCCAGCCCTCCGGGGCCCCACCACCAGCCACTGAGTTGGGCTTCATGTGGCCTCAACCACTGCAGCCATATCAGTCTCACCAGGGAGAAGCCCTCCAGGTCACAGCTGTCCAAGAAAAGGGGGAAGAAAATGATGTCCCCAGCATGACGGGCCCTCGGGAGAGGGCTCACAAGGATGGGCCCCCTAAGAATAGAGCTCACAAGGTTGGGGTCCCCAAAGATGGAGGTCGTAAGGATAAGGATATGGCTCCCAAGGATAGAGGTGGCAAGGATGGGGCCCCCAAGGAAGCACAGCCTAAGACTCCTCAGTCTGCCCTTCACCGGCTGAAAACCACCGCTGCCGTTGCCACCGCCGCCGCTGAAGCCTATGAGGCCATGGCATCTTCTGCTGCCCAGACAGCCAAAGTTGCTGCCAAGGTTGTCAAAGATGCCCCAGCCACCAAAATGGCCACCATTGCAACAGACATGGCTTCAGCTGGGCCCCTAGGGGTCTTTGCACATGTCCTGGGTGCAGGGCCTGCCCGGGGAGCAACAGAATCCCAAGACGTGGATGATGATTCTGAAATCCTCTCTCCCTCCTACTCTGCTGCCAGCATCAGTCCCGATATAGCCCTGTCCCAGGGCATGCTGGCTGCCAAGCAGGCCACGAGCCCTGAAGACAAGAAGAGGGTTGTCAGGTATTCCATGAGCCACATAGCCCAGATGCCCATCAAACACGACTCCCTGAAAGAAGAATTTGCCCAGCTGTCCTTTAACCTGAACCAGCACTTGACTCATCTAGGTAGGCCTGGTCTGGCTTTGGGAAGGGCACAGGGAGTGGGGCCCTCTCGTGCAGCCTTTGAGAAACACCTCCTGTCCTTCATTTGGCTCCACCAACAAAATCTGCATTCCACTATTAGCCATTCATTTCTTTTTTTTTTTTTTTGAGACGGAGTTTCGCTCTTGTTACCCCGGCTGGAGTGCAATGGCGCCATCTCGGCTCACTGCAACCTCCGCCTCCTGGGTTCAGGCAATTCTCCTGCCTCAGCCTCCTGAGTAGCTGGGACTACAGGCATGCGCCACCACACCCAGCTAATTTTTTGTATTTTTAGTAGAGACGGGGTTTCACCAGGTTGATGAAGATGGTCTCGATCTCTTGACCTCGTGATCCACCTGCCTCGGCCTCCCAAAGTGCTGGGATTACAGACGTGAGCCACCGCGCCCGGCCTTAGCCATCCATTTCTTTGGCTTAAGCATCTGGCTCTTAAAAGTCTATTCTGTTAAATGGACAGTGAGGTCTTATCTTAGGTCAGCGAGGCTGTTAGGGTTTAAAGATGTCACTTGAGAAAAATGGCATGTCAAAATTACTCTCAAAAACTCCTTTGTGATAGCCCATAACGCAGTATTGTATTGGCTGAGCGTGGTGACTCCTGCCTGTAATCTTAGCACTTTGGGAGGCCAAGGCAGGAAGATTGCTTGAGCCTAGGAGTTCAAGACCAAATGGGGTAACATATCGAGACCCCATCTCTAAAAAAAATCAAATTGGCCATGTGCGGTGGCTCATGCCTGTAATCCCAGTACTTTACAAGATGAGGCAGGCAGATTACATGAGGTCAGGAATTCGAGACCTGGCCAACATGTTGAACCTGGCCAACATGTTGAAACCACAACTCTACTAAAAAATAAAAGAATTAGCTGGTGTGGTAGCGGGCACCTGTAATCCCAGCTACTCAGGAGACTGAGACAGGAGAATCACTTTCAACCCGGGAGGCGGAAGTTGCAGTGAGCCAAGATAGCGCCAAGGCACTCCAGTCTGGGCAACAGAGTGAGACCCTGTCTCCATAGAAACAAACAAAAACTTTTATTTTTAATTTTTAAAAACTTTTTTGTTGTTTGAGACAGAGTTACACTCATCACCCAGGCTGGAGTGCAGTGCTATCACACCTGGCTAATTTTTTATACAAAAATTAGGCTGGGCATGGTGGGGGGGGCACCTGTAGTCCCAGCTACTCGAGAAGCTGAGGCAGGAGAATCACTTGAGCTCGGGAGATGGAGGTTGCAGTGAGCTGAGATTCCACCACCGCACTCCAGCCTGGCAACAGAGCGAGACTCCGTCTCAAAAAATAATGTAATAAATAAGGAGATCAAGACCATCCTGGCTACCACTGTGAAACCTGTCTCTACTAAAAATGCAAAAAATTAGCCAGATGTGATGGCATGTGCCTGTAGTCCCAGCTACTCAGGAGGCTGAGGCAGGAGAATCGCTTGAACCCAGGAGGAAGAGGTTGCAGTGAGCTGAGATTGCGCCACTGCACTCCAGCCTGGACAAGAGAGTACGACTCCATCTCAAAAAATAAAATAAAATAATAACAAATAAAGTGACATGAGCTGAAAGGCCCCTGCATTTCCACTGGGCAGTGCTGCCTGAAATGCCCCATAAAAGAAGCAGCTAGAGTCCAGCAGAAACATCTTCCTCCATCCCTGCCCCCAGCAGCTGCCCCATCCTCTGTTTTCAGCCAGTATGGGAGGCCCTTCCAGCCTTGGGGCAACAGTGGACATATTGCAGGAAAAGCTCGGCAGCCTCCAGAAGTGCAGGCTCAAGGTCAGTGTCTCTGGTAAAGTGCTTTTGAGGCAATGATGGCTTGAGGTAAGCTGATGGAAGACTCCTTGACCCCCTCCACCCCCCTCCCCGCTCCCAGGCGCAGCTGTGTCCTATAGCAAGAGAGGCTGGGGGGAAGAGAGCCAGCCGCAAAGGCAGCTGCAGCCTTGTAAAGTGGATCCACTTGTGCTGGGGAGCCGGCAGGTACAGGGCCGCATGGTTCTCCTGTTTCTCAGGTGGCTATTAAGATAGATGGCAGGTTGGGCCGGTGCAGTGGCTCACACCTTTAGGAGGCCAAGGCAGGCAGATCACTTGAGCTCAGGAGTTCCAGACCAACCTGGGCAACATAGTGAGATCCCTTCTCTAAAAAAAAAAAAAAAAAAAAAAAATTAGCCAGGCATGGTGGTGTCTGCCTATAGTCCCAGCTACTTAAAGGCTGAGGTGGGAGGATCACTTGAGCCTGGGAGGTGGAGGCTGTAGTGAGCCAAGATCACACCACTGCACTCCAGCCTGAGCAAGGCTCAAAGAAAACTAAAAAGATGGCAGGTGGGAGGCACCCTGGTCTGATACATTCTTTTTTTTGAGATGGATACTTACTTACTCTGTTGTCCAGGCTGGAGTGCAATGGCGCCATCTCAGCTCACTGCAACCTCCGCCTCCTGGGTTCAAGCAATTCTCCTGTCTCAGCTTCCCGAGTAGCAGGGATTACAGGCGCATGCCACCACGCCCCGCTAATTTTTGTATTTTTTGTAGAGACAGGGTTTCACCACCAGGGTGGTCTCAAACTCCTGACCTCAGGTGATCCACCCTCCTCGGCCTCCCAAAGTGCTGGGATTACAGACGAGAGCCCAGCCTGGTCTGGTACATTCTTCTTGGCCTCACCCCTTCCTCAGGCCTCTTCCTGGCCCGGCCATGGTGACCTCAGAAGCAGAGGCCTTGAGTGCCTGTGTCTCCCCCTTTTAGGAGGAAGAACTTGAGAGAATTTGGGGCAATCAAATAGAGACAGTGAAGGATCACTACATCATTTTGGACAAGGCGGTGGAGAAGCTGCAGATTCGCATGGATGAGTTCAAGGTTAGAAGGTCTGGGCAGGCTGGAGAAGGGTTGGCAAGGGGAGAATTCCTCACCCAGACCTTCAGACCCTTCCTGAAGGTTCTGCACAAGGTGGGGATGCCCTTGAGGTTGGGAACCAGAGGGACTTCACTGGCATTTTACTGTGTGTAAATTACACTTCAATGAAAAGCAAACAAACCTCACCCCACACCCCCCAACCCCGACCCATATAAACTGAAGGGCCTGGACAGTTTCTTTTTGACCATTGTGTCACCTGCTCCTGGAAGGGGAGGGGTAGCGAAGGCTCCATCACATTTACTGAATGACTCAATGAGTGATTAAGAGAATTTCTTGTGCCAACTGTTATGTTCTTAACATTTCCCTGGGCAAGTGGTAGAAATGTTTACTGACATTTTGGGCTGTGTGATAAAAATAAAAAACAATAATAAAATAAATATTTAGGCTGGGTGTGGTGGCTGGCATCTGTAATCCCAACACTTGGGGAAGTCGAAGTGGTAGGATTACTTGAGGCCAGGAATTTCAGACAAGTCAGGACAACACAGAGAGATCCCATCTCTACAAAAATAAGAAATTAGCTGGGACTGGGCAAGGTGGTTGACGCCTATAATCCCAGCACTTTAGGAGGCAGAGGCAGATGGCTCACTTGTCAGGAGTTTGAGACCAGCGTGGCTCTTCTTTTTTTTGAGAGGAGTCTCGCTCTGTCGCCTGGGCTGGAGTGCAGTGGCACGATCTTGGCTCACTCTGCCTCCCAGGTTTAAGTGATTCTTCTGCCTCAGCCTCCTGAGTGGCTGGGACTACAGGCATGTGCCACCACACCCGGCTGATTTTTGCATTTTTGGTGGAGACAGGGATTCACCATATTGGCTAGGCTGGTCTCGAACTTCTGACCTTGTGATCCACCCGCCTTGGCCTCCCAAAGTGCTGGGATTATAGGCCTGAGCCACCTTACCCAGCCAAATCCCATCTCTTCTAAAAAAAAAAAAAAAAAAAAAAAAAAAAAAATGAGCAGGGCATTGTGGCACACACCTGTAATCCCATCTACTTGGAGGGCTGAGGCAATGAGAATCGCTTGAATCTGGGAGGTGGAGGTTGCAGTGAGCAGAGATTACACCATTGCACTCCAGCCTGGGCGACAGAGCGAAGTTCCACCTTAAAAAAAAAAAAAGCTGGTGTATTGACTCACACCTGTGATTCTAGTGTTTTGCATGCAGTGGCTCATACCTGTAATGAGGAGGGAGGATTGCTTGAGGCCAGGAGTTCTCGACCTGGGCAAAATAACAAATAACAAAATTCTGTCTCTACAAAAATATTTATTTTATTTTATTATTTTTTTGACACAGGGTCTCACTACATAGCCCAGGCTGGAGTGCAGTGGCTATTAACAGGTGAGACCCCACTAGTGATCAGCACAGGAATTTTGACCTGCTGCATTTCGAACCTGGGCTGGTTCACCCCTCCTTAGGCAACGTGGTGGTCTCCTGCTCCCAGGAGGTCACCATATTGATGCCGAACTTAGTGCGACACCCAAATGGAATAGCGCACTACAACCCAGAACTCCTGGGCTCAAGCGATCCTCCCACCTCAGCCTCCTGAGTAGCTGGGACTACGGACATGCACCACCGTGCTCAGCGGTTACAAAAAAAAATTTAAAAATTAGCCAGGCGTGGTGGTACATGGAGGCTGAGGTAGGAGGATTGCTTCAGCCTGGGAGGTTGAGGCTGCAGTGAGCTATGACTGCATCACTGACTCCAGCCTGGGTGACAGAGCAAGGCTCATCTCAAAGAAAGAAAACAAAGAAACAAGCAAAAAACAAAAAATCCACTGCCAAGGGCCGGGAGCCGTGGCTCACGCCTGTAATCCCAGCACTTTGGGAGGCCAAAGCAGGTGGATCACCTGAGGTCAAGAGTTCGAGACCAGCCTGGCCAACATGATGAAACCCCGTCTCTAGAAAAAATACAAAAATTAGACAGGCATGATGGTAGGTGCCTGTAATCCTAGCTACTCAGGTAGCTGAGGCAGGAGAATCACTTCAACCGGGTAGGCAGAGGTTGCAGTGAGCCAAGATTACACCATCACACTCCAGCCAGGACGATAAGAGGGAGACTCCATCTCAAAAACAAACAAACAAAAAACCCCAAAGCAACCCACCAAGGTTGTTTCCATGAAGGCTTCCGATCCCATGGCAGGGGTCTGTTGCTGGGATGCACTGGGGTGTGCGGTGAAAAGGGGACCAAGGCCAGCCCATGGTGTTTTGCTGCCTCCAAGGTCCGCACACAGTGTAATCAGGCTGGGAACCACTTGAGAAACTTTGAATGGAAAATAACTCATTAAAGGAGACCCAATTCACAGCCTATGCAGTGGGGTGGGCAGGAGGGTTGGCCGTCTCTGGAGATGCCAGAAGAGGGAGTGTGGGTGGACTGCACACAGGTGTTCGTGCTCAGACTGTGCTCCACTGGCCGGCAGCCAGGTCTCCTGCCAACACTGCTCTTCAGAGAGACCCAGGCCACTGTGTCCTGGGGTCATCTTGGTGCCCTTTCTCCAGGGAGCTGGAGCCAGTTCACTGCATTCAGCGTGTCTGACATGCACCCAGTGCTATGCCAGACCCTGCTTGGGGTAAGTGGGGGCTGCAGTGTCTGCCTGCATGTCCACAGTTGTCACTTGTTGAAAGACTCTGAAGGTGATAAAGCCCTGCCAAGTGTGCCAAAAGAGAGCACGTCTCTTCTCCCATGACCCTTGTCCTTTCTTCCTGATTCTTGTGCTATCAAGATTTTATTGCTGGCCAGGCATGGTGGCTCACACCTGTAATCCCAGCACTTTGGGAGGCCAAGCCGGGCAGATCACCTTAGGTCAGGAGTTCAAGACCAACCTGGCCAAACAAGGCAAAAACCCATTCTCTACTAAAAATACAAAAAAATTAGCCAGGCATGATTGCAGGTGCCTATAATCCCAGCTGCTCAGGAGGCTGAGGCAGGAGAATCACTTGAACTGGAGAGGTGGAGGGTTGCAGTGGGCCAAGATTGCACCACTGCACTGCATCCTGGGTGACAGAGTGAGACTCCATCTCAAAAAAAAAAAAAAAAAGATGTAATTGCTTATAAAGATTAACCCTGGAAGACCTAGGAACAGCGCTTATAACACATTAACTATTTCTTTAAAAAAATTAAGACAGAGCTGGGCATGGTGACTTAAACCTGTGATCCAGCACTTGGGAGGCTGAGGCAGGAGGATCACTTGAGCCCAGGAGTTCCACACCAGCCTGAGCAATGTGGTGAAACCCCATCTTTAAAAAAATACCAAAATTGGCCAGGTGCAGTGGCTCACGCCTGTAATCCAAGCACTTTGGAGGCCAAGGTGGGCAGATCACCTGAAGTCAGGAGTTCAAGACCAGCCTGACCAACATGGTGAAACCCCATGTTAAAAAAAAAGATACCAAAATTAGCTGGGCATGATGGCGTGCACCTGTAATCCCTGCTACTTGGGAGGCTGATGTGGGAGGATCACCTGAGCCCAGGAGGTCAAGGCTGCAGTGAACCATGATTGCACCACTTCACTGCAGCCTGGGTGACACAGTGAAAGCCTGTCTCAAAAAAATAAAATAGAGACAGAGTCTCTGTGTCACCCAGGCTGGTCTCAAATGCCTGAGCTCAATTGATCTTCTGGCCTCAGCATCCCAAAGTGCTGGGATTACAGGCGTGAGCCACTCCACCCAGCCTAAATATTTCTGAAATGACCACATACTGCAAGAGATCAACAACTCTGTTTAACTTTTCCAGTAAAGAAGTGAGGGAGGCATGGGTCTGCCACAACTTCTGCAACAGCGGGGAAGCACCACTGCTATTGCCTTCCTGAATGTCTATTTGAAACTGTTAGGAACTTTACAGTGAGTGCAAGAAACCGTCTTCTTCATGCATCCATTCATACATCAAATGTTACTGAGTGCTCATGCTGCACGATGCGCCATTTTGGGCACTGGCAAGATACAGTGTCAACAGACACTATCCAGGCCTTTTTGTGTGTGGGCGGGTGGTAGTGGAATATATATATATATATATTTTTTTTGAGATGGAGTCTCACTCTGTCACCCAGGATGGAGTGCAGCGGCACAATCTCGGCTCACTGCAACCTCCGCCTCCCAGGTTCAAGCAATTCTCCTGCCTCAGCCTCCCAAGTAGCCGAGACTACAGATGTGTGCCATCATGCCCAGCTAATTTTTGTAATTTCAGTAGAGACAGGGTTTCACCATGTTGGCCAGGCTGGTCTCTAACTCCTGACCTTGTAATCTACCCACCTTGGCCTCCCAAAGTGCTAGGATTACAGGCATGAGCCACTGCACCGAGCCAAATTTTTGTATTTTAGTAGAGACGGGGTTTCACCATACTGGCCAGGCTGGTCTGGAACACCTGACCTCAAGTGGTTAGCCTGCGTTGGCTTCCCAAAATGCTGGGATTACAGGCATGAGCCACTGCGCCCAGCCAAATTTTTGTGTTTTTAATAGAGATGGGGTTTCACCATAATGGCCAGGTTGGTCTTGAACTCCTGACCTCAAGTGATCCACTCACCTCAGCCTCCCAAAGTGCTGGGATTACAAGCATGAGCCACCTTACTCAGCCAAAATAACAAGATTATAAAGCATGAATATAGCGGATCACTGGAGCCTGGGAGGTGAAGGTTGGAGTGAGCCAAGCTCACAACACTGCATTCCAACCTGGGTAACAGACTGAGACTCTGTCTCAAAAAATAAAAATAAAAAGCATAAATAAGGCCAGGCATGGTGGCTCCTGTAATCCCAGCACTTTGGGAGTCTGAAGTGGGAAGATCATTTGAGCCTAGGAGTTCCAGACCAGCCTGAGGCAACATGCTGAGACCCATGTCTCTAAAAAAAAAATAAAGCTAGGTGGGTGGTGTCACCAGCAGTCCCAGCTCCTCCGAAGCTGAGGCAGGAGGCTTGCTTGACCCTGGGAGGTTGAGGCTGCAGTGAGCCGTGATTATGCCACTTCACCTCAGCCTGTGTGGCAGAGCAAGACCTTGCCTCTAAAAATAAAAAATTAAAATTAAAAGAGGAGGCATAGGGTGGAGGTGTTGTATTGGACCGAGCACAGAAGGTCAACACCAAGACAAAAGTATGCCAAATTGCAGGGTTTATTGCTGGTGACCACGGAGGACTCACGTCTCTCCGACCCGTGGCAGAGAAAGAAGGGTGACAAGACCTTTTTATACCGGCAAAACCACCTTGGGAGTGGGGGTGAGGAGCGGAGATGGGAATGAAAGCTGTCAATCACCTCCTAGGCTGAGAGGAGGGTGAGGGGGCTCCGGACATTCCAAGGGCCGGGGGACTTTTGTCATTCCAATTGCCACTTAAGTGGTTTACAGAGGTCAAGATAAACATTGGTTTATAAATTATTTGGACAGGTGTGGGGTCCACAGATTTTTCAGTTGCTTGGTGCCAGGATGGAATTATCTGGGGGTGCTTACTCTGGTCAGTACCGGTAAACAGAGGCCAGCAATTCTGGCAGTTACAGATAAGAGAAAGTATGCAGCTTTACCTCTCTTTGCATTTTGCAAGGTAAAATTAGCAGTTTACAGAAGCCAAGGTTAGCAGTCATTGTGAGGAGAATGGAAACGGTTTTGTCTCTTTATAAAATGGCATTGTACAGGTTCTAACTCTAGGCCAGCTATATCACAGAGGGAAGCTCATCAGTGGGGCCACGAGCTGAGTAAAAAATAAAAATAAAAATAATAAAGAGGAGGCAGAGACTCCAGCAAATAAACTAGCCCAAGCCTGTTCTGCTGGAGGTCGCCTGGCGTGCGTGCCTGCGGTTCAGACCCAGGCTTTGGAATAGATGTGCCTGGGTTTGAATCCTGATTCTGCCACCTGCTGGTCGGATCAGTTCTCTGCTGCTGCTGTGGCAAATCACCCTCTTCTGGAGGCGGGAATTCTGAAATGAAGGTGTCTTAGGCTGTGTTCCACCTGTAGGTTCTAGAGGAGCCTCCTCACCTCTCCCAGCTTCTGGTGGCTCAAGGTTTCCCTTAGCTTTGAAACAACTTGGATGGAGGCAGGCGCCACTATTCTAAGGGAAGCAACTGAGGAATGGAAACCAAAGCCTGCATGTTCTCCCTTGTGAGCTAAGCCCTGGGTATGCAAAGGCAGACAGAGCGGGATGATGGGCACAGCAGACTCAGGATAATAGAGAGTGGGGGAAGGATAGAAAACTACATATTGGAGCCAGGTGCAGTGGCTCACGCCTGTAATCCCAACACTTTGGGAGGCCAAGGCAGGTGGATCACTTGAGATCAGGAGTTCAAGACCAGCCTGGCCAACATGATGAAACTTGGTCTCTACTAAAAATACAAAAATTAGCCGGGCATGTGGTGGGTGCCTGTGATCCCAGCTACTCAGGAGGCTGAGGCGGGAGAATCTCTTGAACCCGGGAGATTGCAGTGAGGGAGATTGCAGAGGTTGCAGTGAGCTGAGATCACACTACTGCACTCCAGCCTGGGTGACAGAGCAGATTCTGTCTCAAAAAAAAAACACAAAAAACAAACAAACAAAAAAAAAAACAGAACAGAACAAAACAAAAAAACGAAGAAAAACGTTAAAGATACCCCGTTAAAGATGTAATTTGCATTGACACCCCGGTGGCCAAAGTAAGCTGTAAGGAAGGTTGTGAAATGGAGTCTTGATTCTGGGCAGCTGAGTTCCAGCTAAAAGTTCTGTTCCTAAGCTTGAGAGGGAGACCCGACAGCAAGAGAGAAGTCGAAGCCTGTTCGAAGCTTTGCAGGAACTCGGGAAATGGAGGCTCTTCCCAAGCAGATCAGCTGCTGCTCCTATACCAGGGGGATCTAGTAATTGGAGAGAGGGTGGAATTCATGCAGGCAGTTGGTTCTTTGTGGAGTTGTGGAGATGGGACGTAAGGTTTTCACCTCACACTTGGGCACAGGGTGTGTGGCATGTAGTAAATGTTCAGTTGATAGACTGGAATTCCTGCTGCGACCCCGTTACACGTCAGAAGTGGTAAACATGCCTTAAACATCCAGTGAGTGACATGGTCCTCGTGGCCTTGTGCTTTCCTTCCTTGGATCTAACTCCCCATGCAGGAAAGTTCCTATGATACCACCTCTGAGGGGACAGCTTGTCCCAAGTCCCAGGTTCCTTCCCTTCTCATCCGGGCACCTGGAGACCTTGAGCCTGAATCTCCTAATGCCCATGCCCACCTGCCTGCTGTCCACACAACCCACTGTCCCTCCCCTGCACATGGCAGTGGTGGAGGTGGGAGGTGGGCATTCTATCCTCAAGGCTCCCCAGGATGACAGACAGGCCTGTGCTTCTGTTCTTAGACTCTCCGGGCTCAAATCAAAAGACTAGAAATGAACAAGGTGAATAAAAGCCCTATGGAGGAGCTGCTGAGAGAGGTGAGTGAGCAGAGGTTCCTCTGCCATGCCTGCTTCCCCATCCTGAGCCCCGGGTCTCCCACCCAGGGAAACTGAGCCATCAAGGCAAAGCCCACCAGAGAGCCTTCCAGAGCTTCCCTCTGCCTTTGTTCATATTGAAAACAGGAGTTGGCCGGGCACAGTGGCTCACACCTATAATCAATCCCAGCATTTTGGCAGGCCAAGGCGGGTGGATCACCTGAGGTTAGGAGTTTGAGGTCAGCTTGGCCAAGATAATGAAACTCCATCTCTACTAAAAATACAAAAAATTAGCCAGGCATGGTGGCGGGTGACTGTAATCCCAGCTACTCAGGAGGCTAAGGCAGGAGAATCACTTGAACCTGGGAGGTGGAGGTTGCAATGAACTGAAATTGTGCTGTTGCACTCCAGCCTGGGCAACAAGAGCAAAACTTCATCTCAAAAAAAGAAAGAAAGGTAGGAAGGAAGGAAAGAGGGAGGGAAGGAAGGCCGGCAGGCAGGCAAAAGGGTGGGAGGGAAGGAAAGGAGGGAGGAAAGAGGGAGGGAGAAATGTAAGGAAGGAAGGAAGGGGGAGGAAGTGAAGGAAGGAAGGAAGGAAGACAGGTGTCACATCAACTCCCATTTTCAGCATCTGAGGATTATTAACACTCTGTTGTGTGAACTTAAAAATCACTAATCAGGCCAGGTGCAGTGGCTCACGCCTACAATCCCAGCACTTTGGGAGACTGAGGCAGGCAGATTACAATGTCAAGAGATCAAGACCATCCTGGCCAAAATAGTGAAACCCCGTCTCTACTAAAAATACAAAAATTAGCTGTGCGTGGTGGCACACACCTGTAATCGCAGCTACTCAGGAGGCTGAGGCAGGAGAATCACTTGAACCTGGGAGGTGGAGGTTGCAGTTAGCAGAGATTGCACCACTGTACTCCAGCCAGGTCGACAGAGCAAGATTCCTTTTCCAAAAAAAAAAAAAATCACACGTCAGCTGTGCATGGGGTGGCTAATGCCTGTAATCCTAGCACTTTGGGAAGCCTAAGTGATAGGATCACTTGAGGCTAGGAGTTTGAGAACAGCCTGGGAAGTATAGAAAGATCAGATATCGCCGGGCATGGTGGCACGTGCCTGTAGTTCCAGCTACTTGGGAGGCTGAGGCTGGAGGATCGCTTGAGTCCAGGAGTTCTGGGCTGTAGTGCGCTATGCCAATCGGGTGTCTGCACTAAGTTCAGCATCAATATGGTGACCTCCCGGGAGCGAGGGAGCACCAGGTTGCCTAAGGAGAGGTGAACCAGCCCAGGTCGGAAATGGAGCAGGTCAGAACTCACGTGCTGATCAGTACTGGAATGGCGCCTGTGAATAGCCACTGCACTCCAGCCTGGGCAACATAGTGAGACCCTGTCTCTAAAAAAAAAAAAAGAAGAAGAAAGATCAGATCTCTATAAAACATAAAAAAATTAGCTGGTCTTGGTGGAACATACCTGTAGTCCCAGCCACTCAGGAGGCTGAGATGGGAGGATCCCTTGAACCCAGTAGGTTGAGGCTGCAGCGAGCTGTGATTCCACCACTGCATTCCAACCTGGGCAACCTAGAGCAAGATCCTATCTCAAAAACAAAAAATTATAATAATAGTAAAATCACACATCAACTTCCCTGTTATGGGAAAACCTTGGGTTTGATGTCAAGATTGCATTTAAGCCAAGACTAAAAGTCCAGAGTCCCAAACTAGAAGCAACAGACCCAAGGGGTCCATCTCCTAGCTTTGCCTTCCTCCATCCCAGCAGCCTCACCTCCCTGAACTCCCTGTCTCTCTAGAAAGCTGACAGGAGCGCCCTGGCAGGCAAGGCAAGCCGAGCTGACCTGGAGACCGTGGCGCTGGAGCTGAACGAGATGATTCAAGACATGCTCTTCAAGGTCACGACCCATGAGGATGACTGGAAGAAGGCTGTGGAGCAGCTCAGCAAGGACATGAACACCAAGGTGAGTGCCCCTGTGTGGATTTTCATTTGCTTCCTAACACATTAACCCAGAATTTAGCAGCTGCAAACAGCAAATGCTTCCAGTTCAGGAGGAGCAAGAATTTGGGGGTCAGGTCAGGCACGGGGGCTCACGCCTGTAATCCCAGAATTTTGGGAGGCTGAGGCAAGTGGATCACCTGAGGTCAGGAGTTCAAGACCAGCCTGACCAACACGGAGAAACCGCGTCCCTGCTGAAAATACAAAAATAGCTGGGCGTGGTGGCACATGCTGTAATCCCTACTTGGGAGGCTGCTATTCAGGAGGCTGAGGCAGGAGGCTTGAACCCGGGATCAACACAAGAGAATTGCTTTAACCTCTGCACGCCTGTAATCCCTACTCAGGAGGCTGAGGCAGTAGAGTCACTTGAACCCAGGAGGCAGAGGTTGCAGTGAGCCAAGATTGAGCCATTGCATCCAACCTGAGCAAGAAGAGCAAAACTCCATCTCAAAAAAAAAAAAACTTTTGTGAGTGACCTAGCAGCTTAGCTGGGTGGCTCAGGGTCTCCTATGAAATTACAGTCAAGATGTCATCCAAGGCTGGTCTCATCTGACGGCTCAAATGAGGCTAGATGAGCCAATTCAAAGGAGATTCCCTCATGTGGCTGTTGGTAACACTCCTTAGTTCCTCATTCCATGGACTCCGCCTTAGGACCCCTTGAGTGACCTCATGTCATGGCAGCTGACCTCCCCAGAGCAAATGATCCAAGAGGGGAAGAAAGAAGCTACAATGTCTTTTTTTTTTTTTTTTGAGACAGGTTCTCACTCTGGGCGCCTGCCCTATACATAGTCAATAAGTGAATAGATCCCCATTTCACAGACAAGAACACTGAGCCTCAGAGAGGTTATTATACTCCCCTCAGGGAACGCTGCTGCTCATGGTGGAGCTGGGACTCAAACCCAGAGCTGCCTGATTTTAAACCTAATCTAACTTCTTTGGGCCATACTAGCCACCTCAATAGCAACCGCCCTGTAACACTGTCTTTGGACCAACTGTTTTGCCTACTACACTGTGCTAATTGAGGTAGGGGTTATGACTTCTCTAGACATTTCCCTGGGTCTGGCACATCACTGGCAGTGTAAATGATGAACAAATAAATGAATGACTGCCATGGTCCCTCAGAGACTCCCCACCTTAACTCCACATCCCTGCGCTTACCCAGCCAGGAGAGTGGCGCAGTTAGCCCCCAGGAAGGTCCCCAACCATACCTCTTGGTATTCACACAATTGCGTAGCCCCCTTCCACATTGAATGGGTCCAGCTTGTGTAATCAACAGGATATTACAGAGATGATGGGAGTGACTGCCTTCCATTGTAAAAGACATTGCAGACCAGGCATGGTGGCTCACACCCGTAATCCCAGCACTTTGCGAGGCTGAGACAGGCAGATCACAAGGTCAAGAGATCGAGACCATCCTGGCCAACATGGTGAAACCCTGTCTCCACTAAAAACACAAAAATTAGCTGGGCATGGTGGCGCATGCCTCTTAGCTGCTCATGAGGCTGAGGCAGGAGAATCACTTCAACCCAGGAGGCGGAGGTGGCAGTGAGCTGAGGTCGAACCACTGGCACTCCAGCCTGGCGACAGAGCGAGACTACGTCTTGAAGCAAAAAAAAAAAAAAAAAAAAAAAAGACTTTGCAGCCAGGTGTGGTGTCTCATGCCTGTAATCCCAGTATTTTGGGAGGCCAAAGCAGCTGGCAGATCACTTTAGCCAAGAGTTCAAGCCCAGCATGAGCAACATGGTAGATCTCTGTCCCTCAGAGACAACATAGCAAGGGAAACATAGTTGTCCCTGACAACATAGCAAGGGGGAAAAAAAAATTAGCCAGTTGTGGTGGCGCACACCCGCAGTTCCAACTACTCAGGAGGCGGAGGTGAGGGAATACCTGAGCCTGGGAGGTTGAGACTGCGGTGAACCAAAATCGTGCCACTGTACTCCAGCCCGGGCAACAGGAGCACCCTGACAGGCACTCAGAGTGAGAACCTATCTCAAGAAAAAAAAAAGAGGTCTCAAGATACCCAAACGCAACACATAAAGAAGTTTTACTTGTTTCCTGGTTTAATTGAACCAAGTCTGCCAATGGGCTGGAGTTGACATCCAAGTCAAGAATTGTTGCTAATTACATTAAACATGATAATGGCATTGTGGTTCTGTAATAAAAAGTTATCGCACTCAAATATTTATGAGTGAAATGCCACCATTTCTGTAACTTAAAAAAAAAATACTCCATCAAGTGGTGCAGTGGCTCACACCTGTAATCCCAGCATTTTGGGAGGTCAAGATCGGAGGATCACTTGAGCCCAGGGGTTTGAGACCAGTCCTGGCAACATAGCAAGACTCCATCTCTACTTTTAAAAAAAATTATTTTTGGGCCAAGTGTGGTGGCTCAACCCTGTAGTCCCAGCACTTTGGGAGGCCAAGGCAGGCAGATCATGAGTTCGAGACCAGCCAGGCCAACATCGTGAAACCCTGTCTTTACTAAAAATACAAAAATTAGCCAGGCATGGTGGTGGACACCTGTAATCCCAGTTACTCAGGAGGCTGAGGCAGGAGAATCGCTTGAACCCAGGAGGCAGAGGTTGCAGTGAGCCGAGACCACACCATTGCACTCCAGCCTGGGTGACAGAGCAAGACACTGTCTCAAAAAAAAAAAGCCAGGTTCGGTGGCTCACTCACACCTGTAATCCCAGCACTTTCAGAGGCCAAGGCAGGTGGATCACAAGGTCAGGAGTTCAAGGCCAGCCTGGCCAAGATGTGAATCCTCTTCTCTACTAAAAAAAAAAAAAAATTAACCAGGCATGGTGGCACACGCCTGTAGTCCCAGCTACTCTGGAGGCTAATGCAGAAGAATTGCCCAAACCCAAGAGGTGAAGGTTGCAGTGAGCGAAGATTGTGCCACTCTACTCCAGCCTGGGCAACCAAGTAAGACTCCATCTCAAAAAAAAAAAAAAACATTTTTCCCCAGGCACAGTGGCTCACATCTGTAATCCCAACATTTTCGGAGGCCAAGGTGGGTTGATCACTTTAGGTCAGGAGATCAAGACCAGCCTGACCAACATGGTGAAACCCCGTCTCTACTAAAAATACAAAAAATTAGCTAGGCGTGGTGGCGCGCACCTGTAATCCCAGCTATGCTGGAGGCTGAGGCAGGAGAATCGCTTGAACTTAGGAGACAGAGGTTGCAATAAGCCAAGATCACACCATTGCCCTCCCTCCTGGGCAACAAGAGTGAAACTCCATCTCAAAAATAAATTAATAAAATAAAAATAAATAAAATTGACTGTGATGGTTGCACAACTCAGTGAATATACTAAATGTCATAAACTTGCCCCCTTTACATACACTCTCAATAAATATGTGTTGAACGTGTGAATATCAGGTACAGTGGGGCCATTGGGAGAAAGGTTTCTCAGACCTCTCAGCCTGCATTTGAACTTGGTTTGATTTGATCTCTTGGAGACAGTAGCTGATGATATTTTTTGCTTTAGCCACTGGGAAGCTCACCTTGCAGCTCCCCTCTACCTATAGCATCTAGTAGGGGTCTGAGCCTACTCCAGAGCTGGGTCATGTTCCCTTTCCTGGACTTCCTACTTTAGTTGAATTTTGTTATGCTCTGTGACTTCCCAGGTTGCCACAGCCCCTCTTCTGGAAGGGGGCAGGGTGTGAATTCATTGACTGTTCTTTCTTTCTTCCCCTTGGCTGTTGGCAGCTAGTCCACAGTGATCTGGATCCCTTGAAGAAAGAAATGGAAGAGGTCTGGAAAATAGTCTGGAAGCTGCTGACTGAGGGCTTACGATTGGACCCTGACAGTGCTGCCGGCTTTAGGAAGTGAGGGCCTGCCCTGAGCCCCTCCTGGGAGGGGTACTGCTGCCCAGGCTGTGGGGGACACAGGAGGGGAATCCCAGGGGCTCTGGGAGGAAAGATTCCACACCTGTGGATGAGGGGATGGTGACTGGGCTGTGGCTGAGAGCGCAGAGGAGGGGAACTCTGGCCTGAGCTGGCAGAGGGGGCTCCAGTCCTATTCCCGCCAATGGGGAAACAGAGGCTCAGACAAGGAAGGGGACCTGGGCAGATCTGGGACCCCTGACCCCAACCCAGACAGTGCCCCAGGCAGAAGAACCAAATATTTGTGGGGCTCCTGTCCTCAGACCACCCCACACAGTTTGTTGTTGTTGTTGTTTTTGAGATGGAGTTTCGCTCTTGTTGCCCAGGCTGGAGTGCAATGGCACAATCTTGGCTCACTGCAACCTCCGCTTCCCGGGTTCAAGCAATTCTCCTGCCTCGGTCTCCCAAGTAGCTAGGACTACAGGTGGACATCACCACGCTCGGCTAATTTTTTGTATTTTGTAGAGACAGATTTCATCACATTGGTCAGGCTACTCTGGAACTCCTGACCTCAGGTGATCCACCTGCCTTGGCCTCCCAAAGTGCTGGGATTACAGGTTGTGAGCCACTGTGCCCGGCCCACACCCCTCACACAGTTCTAAAGGCCATCCCTTAGACTGGGCAAGGTGGCTCATGTCTGTAATCCCAGCACATTGGGAGGTTGAGGTGGGCAGATCACCTGAGGTCAAGAGGTTGAGACCAGCCTAGCCAACATGGTGAAACCCTGTCTCTACTAAAAATACAAAAAAAAATAGCTGGCTGTGGGGGCACACGACTGTTGTCCAGTTACTCGGAAGGCTGAGGCAGAATTGCTTGAACCCAGGGGGTGGGGTTGCAGTGAGCCGAGATCACACCATTGCACTCCAGCCTGGGTTACAAAGCAAGACTGTCTCAAAAAAAAAAAAAAAGACCATCCCTTGTGTTTGGGGCAGCAGAGAAACCACAGGGGTGGTTGGGAACCTCAGGGCCTGTGGGGCTGAGCTGGGCCAGGTGCTGGCAGGAGGGGTGCAGCCTTGGGGCCCCAGCTAGCTGCAGCATCCGGCACAGGCCTGGGCCCAGCAGGGGCAGCAGCTGATGACCGTGTGCCTTTCAGGAAGCTGTTCAAGTACGTCAAGTGCACATCCTGTGACCAGCCCGTGCAGATGATGACTGGCCCGTGAGTACCGCCGCCCAAAGTGCCCTGGCCCTTGGGCCTTGTAAGGTGGATAGATGTCCGCTCCATGCACGTCCACGTGCACCGTTCCATGCGCGCTGTCTACACATCCATGTACAGCGTTCTCCAGTCAAGTCCATACACATCCACGTGCACCATTCTGTATGCACCAGTGTCTGCACATCCACATACACTGTTCTGTACCGTCAAGTCCCTGCACATCCATGTACACTGTTCTGTATGTGTCATTTGTATCCACATTCATATACGGGCTTCCCCAGCCTTCCAGATGGCTATTCTACAGCCATCAAAAATATTCAAACATGTGGCATTGTATGGTGATGCCTACCTGTAGTCCCAGCTACTCAGGAGGCTGATGGGGGAGGATGGCTTCAGCCAAGAAGTTCGAGGCTGGAGTGAGCTAGGATTGTGCCATTGCACTCCAGCCTGAGTGACAGTGAGGCCTCATACATATATATATATAAACAAGACTGGGCATGGTGGCTCATGCCTATAATCCCAACACTTTGGAAAGCTGAGGGGAGTGGATCACCTAAGGTCAGGAGTTCAAGACCAGCCTGGCCAATATGGTGAAACGCTGTTTCTACTAAAAATGCAAAAATTAGCCAGGCATGGTGGCATGCGCCTGTAATCCCAGCCACTTGGGAGGCTGAGGCAGGACAATTGCTTGAACCCAGGAGGTGGAAGTTGCAGTGAGCTGAGATAATGCCACTGCACTCCAGCCTAGGTGACAGTGAGAGACCCTGTCTTTAAAAAAAAAAAAATTATATATATATAATTGTTTATTGGCCGGGTGCAGTGGCTCATGCCTGTAAGCCCAGCACTTTGGGAGGCCGAGGTGGGTGGATCACGAGGTTAGGAGTTCAAGACAAGCCTGACCAACGTGGTGAGACCCCGTCTTTACTAAAGATACAAAAAATTAGCCAGGCATGGTGGCAGGTGCTTGTAATCACAGGTATTGGAGAGGCAGAGGCAGGGAATTGCTTCAACCTGGTAGGCAGATGTTGCAGTGAGCCGAGATCGCACCTCTGCACTCCAGCTTGGGCGACAGAGTCTGACTCCGTCTCAAAAAAACAGAACAAAACAAAAACCAGTTTATATCCCAGCTACTCAGGATACTGAGGCAGGAGAATCATTTGAACCTGGGAGGTGGAGGTTTCCTTGAGCCGAGATTATGCCACTGCACTCCAGTCTGGTGACAGAAGAGACTTCATCTCAAAAAAAATAAAAAGATAAAACAGTTCTAGCTCCCCAGGAAGGCTATTCTGTTTACTTTATTTATATTTCTTTATTAAGGCAAATTACATGTGACATAAAATTAACTATTTTCAAACAAGCAGTTAGGGGCATTTGGTGCATTCACGGAGGGTACAGGCGTCACCTCTCTACTGCTGTGGCATTTTCAGTCCCTCAAAAGGAAACTTCAACTCATGAAGCTGTGTTTCCCTGTCCGTCCTGCCCCAGCCCCTGGCAACCACCAATCTGCATCCTGTTTCTAGGATTTATCTTATTCTGTTTTTTACTATTATTATTATTGTTATTACTATTTGAGACTAGGTCTCCCTCTGTCACCCAGGCTGGAGTACAGTGGCACAATCACGGCTCACTGCAGTTGCAAATCAGGTGATCCTCCCACCTCAGTTTCCCAAGTACCTGGGATTACAGGCATGCACCACCACACCCAGCTAATTTTCGTATTTTAGTAGAGACGGGATTTCTCCATGTTGCCAAGGCTGGTCTTGAACTCCTGACCTCAAGTGATCCATTCACCGCAGCCTCCCGAAGTTCTGGGATTACTGGTGTATGCCACTGTGTCCGGCCTGGTTTTTACTTTTGGAAATAGAACAATTGTTTTTTGTGTCATACTGTGATGATCAGAGCTCCTGAAATGCCTCTTGGGGTAGGGGTGGGAGGCCTTCTACTTCTGTGCTGTGGACGCTTCCAGCATTTGAGGTTGGCGACCTGACTCTGCACCTCCTTCCTCCCTCTGGGAAGGCTTCCTGGAGGGGTGGGAGCCAAGCCCTTTGCTGGCTTGGCGCGCCTTGCACAGCCCCTGCAGAGCCTTTGTCCTCCTACGGACACCTGATCACCACCCGCAAAGCACACCTGCTGTCCTGGCTGCGGCCAGTCAGCGCCAACAGCTATGAGTACTTGCAGAGGCAACAGATGAGGTGAGCAGGGTGGGTGCCCTGCATGGAGGCCACTCTGAAGCCTGGGAACAGTGTTCCTGCACAGACATCCTCCAGGCCCATTGTTTCAGACATGGCCAGCCCTTCGAAAGAGAGGCGGTCTGAAAGGTGGCTGGGTTGACAGACAGGCCCACGAGATGACCACGGAGGGAGGAACTGACATATTTCCTGGGCATCTATTGTGGGCCAAGAACTGTAAGAGGGTTTCTTACTGAAATTCCACAACCTGCTGTGAGCTAGGATTCCTATGCCCGTGTCCCTGTTTCTTGGTGGAGGAAATCGATGATGATGGGGGATGCTTGGGGAAATACTGCTATGCCCAGCAGGCACTGTGACAAGTGCTGGGGCTCCCCTGGCCTTTTTGAGTCCTCACAGTTGTCCTCTTAGCTGTTTCCTATTACTATCCCATGTCACAGTTGAAGAAACTGAGGCTCAGAGAACTTCAGTGACATGCCCAAGGTCACTGCTAGCAAGTGACAGGGCTGACGTCTAAACCCTCAGGTTTCCACCACACCCAGCTGGCTCCCTGGGTCCCAGCCCGACCTCTCAACCTCCTGACATCCCACAGCTCTGTGGCTTTTCCCGGCTTCCATCACTGCTGTGGGACATGTGACCAGGTCGGGGAAGAGCCGGCGAATAGTCACCACAGCCATGGGAAGAGGAGGGAGGTGGGGACGGGCCTGCACCCTCCTTTTCTGGCTCCTTGAGATCAAGAGATTAGAAAGGCAAGCTCTTCAGTCCAGGGGTCTAAAAGGAAATGGCTGGGGTTGGGAAAATGCAGGACTCACTTCAATTCCTCTGCCCCACTGAGTGCATCCGTATCCACCTGCCAAGCCCCAGGCCTGCCTGGCTGCCACCTAAACGCAAGCTGAAAGAAATGCCGGTCTTCCCTCAATGCTGGCCAGGCCCTTGAGGTGCATCCTGGGGAGCTCTGGGGTGCAGGGTGTCCAGGTGGCTGCTGACCCACCGCCCTGCCCCAGGGAACAGCAGCAGCTGCAGTTCCAGGACCTCAGCATCCAGGAGGATTTTCAGCAGGACTGAGGTGATGGCCCCCAAAATGACACCAGCTTCAAGTGCAAGTCCTGCAACCTATCAACACTTTATCCCTACGGGGATCCCCACATGATCGACTATGACAGCGTGAGTCTGGCCGGGGCCTCCTTCCCAGAGGGTGGACGTCAGTGCACCCCAGCCCCAGGTGTGGGACCAGGCCCTTGGCGGTGGGCAACCCCAGTGGAGGCTGTGCTCTGTCTTCTGGGCCTCTGCATGCACTAAAGTTGGGGGGCAGACCGGATGGGAGCTCCCCGACCTTTGATCTGGGGCATCCAACAGGTCGAAGTGGACATCCTCGGTGTGGATGGGATCCTGTACAAAGGCCGCATGAATAGCCAGAGGGGGCTCCGGCCTCAGCCATCGCAAAGGAGCTGGCAGGTGAGGGGGCATCGGGCTCCTCGGGCACCCCTTCCTGGGGTCCTGATTCTGCTGGGCAGGGTGAGGGGGTTCAGGTGGGGCCCAGAGCCAGCACTGTTCCTGACCGGGGAGCCCTCACACTATCAGTCACAAAACTTGGGTCACAGCAGGAGCCCAGGAGACCTGGTCCTTGCAATGGGGGAGGGAGACTGCAGGAGGGAGAATCAACAGCTGACCCGAGGGAGGGCCGTGGCCACAGGACCATGGCCTGTGATGAAGGACGATGGGCTAGAGAGGGTGCTAGGCTGGTGCCAAAGGACACCAGGGAGGAGGGACTGGACAGCTGTCCTGAAGCCCTTGAAGAAGGGCTAGGAGCTAATTGGAGCTGGATGAAGGGTGAGAGGAGAGTGGTCTTGTGGCTGGATGGTAGGTGCAAGGGCCCTGTGGTGGGTGGAAGCCAGACACAGGCAGGAACTCGGGATACCAAGTTTCCCTGGAGGGCGGAGACTGTGGTGGAGCAGTGGGGTGACAAGGAGGAGCCTTGGATCAGACCACAGAGGCTGTGTGTTGATATCACAGGCAAGGGTTGGGCCAGCAGGAGACCCAGACATGTGCACATCCCGAATCAGTCGTTGTGGTCACTGCAGTGCTGTGGCCTGGCTCTGGCCAGCTCCTGCTGGGACCCCAAGACTCTGCAGTCCATTACTAGATTTGAAGGACAAAACGGGAGCCTTCTTTCCCCTTGGGGAAGAGGAGTTCTAAATTTTGCCCCTAAGTGGGAGCCACACACTGTCCCATCGGGAGTGGTCCTGGAGCCACAAGATGGCTGGGGGCTGAACTCTACCTGTAGAAATTATTTTTGTTTGTTTTTTGAGATGAAGTCTCACTCTGTTGCCCAGGCTGGAGTGCAGTGGCGCAATCTCAGCTCACTGCATCCTCCACCTCCCAGGCTCATGAGATTCTCTTACATCAGCCTTCCAAGCAGCTGGGATTACAATTGCCCACCATTATGTCTGGCTAATTTTTTCTTTTTTTGAGATGTAGTCTTGCTCTTTCGCCAGGTTGGAGTGCAGTGGCACAATCTCGGCTTACTACAATCTCCGTCTCCTGGATTCAAGCGATTCCCTTGGCTCAGCCTCCTGAGGAGCTGGGACTGCAGGCACACGCCACCACGCCCATCTAATTTTTTGTATTTTAGTAGAGACGGAGTTTCACCATGGCCAGGAGGGTCTCGATATCCTGACCTCATGATCCACCTGCCTCAGCCTCCCAGAGTGCTGGGATCACATGTGTGAGCCACCATGCCCCGCCAGTTTTTTGTATTTTTACTAGAGATGGGGTTTCACCATGTTGGTCACGCTGGTCTCTAACTCCTGACCTCAAGTGATCCACCCGCCTTGGCCTCCCAAAGTGCTAGGAGCACAGGTATGAGCTACCGCACCCAGCCCACCTGCAGAAATCCTTTCTCCCCAACACTGTGCCTCTATTGACTGGAGGACTAAACACCAGATGTGGAAGAAAGGAGGGTGGACTGTTTCATCTACATGTTGGGCAAAGAAGGAGGCATGCTGCATTAGTCTCCTGGGACTGCCAAGACAAATTACAAGCTGGGTGGCTTAAAATCACTGAAGTTCCAGCCTGTAGTCCCAGTTACGTGGGAGGCTGAGGCAGGAGAATCACTTGAGCCCAGGAATTTGAGGCTGCAATGAGCCATGATCTCACCACTGCACTCCAGCCTGGGTGACAGAACCAGACCCTGTCTTAAAAAAAAACCAGAACAGAACAAAAGCAAGCAAAAACGATGCCAACAACAAAATACAGCTGGAGTCGATCCTCCCGCTGATCTGGAGGCTGGAAATCCTAAATCCAGGGGTCAGCAGGGCTGTGCCCCCTCCAAAGGCTTAGGGGGAGGGTCCCTCCCTGCCTCTTCCAGCTTCTGGGGCTGCTGGCACTCCCTGGCACACTGTGTCCACATGTGGTCTTCTCTTCTGTGTGTCCTCTCCTCTGTCCCCCGTAAGGACGTTCGTCTTTGGATTTGTGCCCAACCTAACCCAGGATGATCTCATCTCAAGATCCTTAACCTAATTATACGTGGAAAGACCCTTTTTCTAAATAAGGTCACATTCACAGCTTCTACGAGATGTATCTTTTTGGGGAGCACCATTCAACACACCCTGTTTCCAGGGGGACTGGACACCATCTCAAACCCTGCATTATCCTGGGTAGGGGGATGTGGCTTCTCCTGGCAAGGACTGGCCATTCTATCCCCTGCCTCCTGCCTGGTATTTGCTGGGAGGGCTCAGGCTGGGCGTCAGGGATCACCAGGCAGGATCACAACAGTGGCTAATATTTAATATTCCATGAACCCTGACTTTGTGCCAGGGCCTCCCCCACCTCCTCCACCCTGCAACAACCTGCCAAGGAGTTTCACAAATGATCAGCTGAGGGCTGCTTGCTGGGGGCCAGGGCAGATGTAGTGTACATCTGATACACCCAGTCACGTCCCCGCTCATCCACTGACCTCCCCAGAGGCTGGTACCCTGGGCGGGGGGCGGGGGCGGGGGAGGCTTTCCTCCATGGCTCATTCATTCCCAAGACCCACACAGCAAACCAGGACTCAAATCATGATAGTATCAACTGCTTTATTTATTTATTTTTTTCAAGACAGAGTTTCGCTCTTGTTGCCCAGGCTGGAGTGCAGTGGCATGATCTCGATTCACTGCAGCCGCCACCTCCCAGGTTCAGGCGATTCTTCTACCTCAGCCTCCTGAGTAGCTGAGACTATTGGCACACACCACCATGCCCAGCTAATTTTGTTTTTGTAGTAGGGATGGGGTTTCACCATGTTGGCCCTGCTGGTCTTGAACTCTTGACCTCACCTCAAGTGATCCGTGTGCCTCGGCCTCCCAAAGTGGGATTACAGGTGTGGGCCACCGCGCCTGGCCCTCAGTGGCTTTATCTTGCTTAGAGGTGACGAAATCTGATACTACAGATGCTCCTAAACTGACGATGGTGCTGTATGCTGATAAACTCAGAGTGCCCAGGCTGGAGTGCAACGGCACAATCTCGGCCCACCACAACCTCCGCCTGCTGGGTGCAAGCGATTCTCCTTTCTCAGTCCCTGAGTAGCTGGGATTACAGGCATGCGCCACCATGCCCCACAATTTGTATATTTTTAGTAGAGATAGGGTTTTGCCATGTTGGTCAGGCTGGTCTCAAACTCCTGACCTCCAGTGATCTGCCCACCTTGACCTCCCAAAGTGCTGGGATTACAGGCGTGAGCCATTCTCATGTAACTTACTGACTACTGTATAATTACATTGAAATAGTGATGGATTTTTACCATCTTAAAGAGTTGAAAGGTGGTAAATTAAGTCATCGTAAATCAGGACCCTTCTGTGTTAGAAATCAATTGGAAACCTGTCTGTGGCTAGATCTTGATCAGTGTGCTGTTGTCACTCACTTATCTCCCCAAAAGAACTTTCTTTTTTTTTTTGATATGGAGTTTCGCTCTTGTTACCCAGGCTGGAGTGCAATGGCGCGATCTCGGCTCACCACAACCTCCGCCTCCTGGGTTCAGGCAATTCTCCTGCCTCAGCCTCCTGAGTAGCTGGGATTACAGGCACGCGCCACCATGTCCAGCTAATTTTTTGTATTTTTAGTAGAGACGGGGTTTCACCATGTTGACCAGGATGGTCTCGATCTCTTGACCTCGTGATCCACCCGCCTCGGCCTCCCAAAGTGCTGGGATTACAGGCTTGAGCCACCGTGCCCGGCCCCCAAAAGAACTTTCTAACTCAAAACAGACTCAAAGCCAGGTACAGTGGCTCACGCCTGTAATGCTAGCGCTTTGGGAAGCTGAAGCTGGAGGATCACTTGAGCTCAGAAGTTCAAGACCAACCTGGGCAACATGGTGAAACCCCACCTTTACAAAAAATACAAAAATTAGGCAGGGCAAGGTGGCTCATGCCTATAATCTGAGCACTTTGGGAGGCCAAGGTGGGCAGATCACATGGTCAAGAGATTGAGACCATCTTGGCCAACATGGTTAAAACATGTCGCTACTAAAAATACAAAAATTAGCTAGGTGTGGTGGTACATGCCTGTAGTCTTGGCTACTTGGCTGAGGCAGGAAATCACTTGAACCCAGGAGGTCCAGGCTGCAGTAAGCCAAGATTGCACCACTGCAATGCAGCCTGGGCAAACGAATGAGACTTGTTCTCAATAAAAAGAAAGAGTCCAGGTGCAGTGGCTCACACTTGTAATCCCAGCATGTTGGGAGGCCGAGGTGGGTGGATCACAAGGTTAGGAGTTCTAGACCAGCCTGTCCAATATGGTGAAACCCCATATCTACTAAAAATACAAAAATTAGCCAGGCATGGTGGTGCATGCTTGTAGTCCCAGCTACTTGGGAGGCTGAAGCAGGAGAATCACTTGAGCCCAGGAGGTGGAGGTTGCAGTGAGCCAAGATCGTGCCACTGCACTCCACTTTGGGCGACAGAGTAAGACTCAGACTCAAAAAAAAAAAACCACCACCACCAACAACAACAACAAAAAAAAAACATAAGAAAGAAATGTCCAGAATAGAAAAATCTATAGACAGAAGGAAAACTGGTGATTTCCAGGGGCCGGGGTTTGGGGTGGGGGAAGTGAGAGTGACTGCTTTATGGGGACAGGACCCCTTTTGGGGTGATGGTAATGTTTTAGAAGAAGGTATCAGTGGTGTACAATGCTGTATGTGTCCTAAATGCCTCTGCATTGTGCACTTTAAAAAAATTTTTTTGACGTGGAGTTAAGCTCTTGTGGCCCAGGCTGGAGTGCGATGGTGCGATCTCGGCTCACTGCAACCTCCACCTCCTGGGTTCAAGCGATTCTCCTGCCTCAGACTCCCGAGTAGCTGGGATTACAGCCATGCATCACCACACCTGGCTAATTTTGTATTTTTAGTAGAGATGGGGTTTCTCCATGTTGGTCAGGCTGGTCTCAAACTCCTGACCTCAGGTGATCCACCTGCCTCAGCCTATCAAAGTGCTGGGATTACAGGCATGAGGCATCGTACCCAGCTGAATTGTACACTTTAAACTGGTTAATGTTACCTAAAATAGATTTTACTTCAAATAATGCCAAAAAAAAAAAAAAGATGAAGGACAGGAAGATGGGAGTGGGGCATTTGGGTGCTCTGGACCCCAGCAGGACAGCTAAACCATAAATAGCCATGCCAGCAGTTTACCTATCTCTGACTGTGCTGAAATCAAGTTGCACTCCTTGGCCTAGAGTTACTTTCTTTCTTTTTTTTTTTTTTGAGATTGAGTCTCACTCTCTTGCCTAGGCTGGAGTGCAATGGTACACACTCGGCTCACCACAACCTCCCCCTCCCAGGTTCAAGGGATTCTCCTGCCTCAGCCTCCTGAGTAGCTGGGATTACAGGCGTGTGGCACCATGCCCAGCTAATATTTGTATTTTTAGTAGAGATGAGGTTTCACTGGGTTGGTCAGGCTGGTCTCGAACTCCTGACCTCGTGATCCGCCCACCTCAGCTTCCCAAAGTGCTGGGATTACAGAGTTACTTTCAAAGAGGCTTCTTTTCTATCTTATCCTTGAGCTGCTCTCTACTCAAGACAAGGAAGTCTGGGCACAATGGTTCATACCTATAATCTCAGCACTTTGGGAGGTCAAGATGGGAGGATTGCTTGAGCCCAGGAGCAATCAAGACTAGCCTGAGGAACCTCATCCCAACTCCTGTGAGGTAGTTACTGTTCTCCCATTTCACACAGGAGGGAGTGGAGGTTCAGACCTCACTATGTGGAGGTCTTCACATAGTGAGACCTCCTCCCTAAGAAAATTTTTAAAAAATTAACTGGGAGTGGTGGCACCCGCCTGTAGTCCCAGCTACTCAGGCGGCTGAATCAGGAGGATTGCTTGAGCCCAGGAGTTCAAGGCTGCAGTGCCTTCCAGCTTGGGCAACAGAGTGAGACCCTGCCTCAAGAAAAAAAAAAGGGGGGGCAAGGAGGGAGGAACATTGTCCCATAAAGGAATGGACCGGGGGTCTGGGAAATGGGGCTGGTCCCACCAGAGGGAAGAACTTGGCTGGTGCTGGCATTGGTCTGACACAGGCCTAGGGGCTACTCACTTCTGTCCCTTCTTCTTTTCTGCTAAGCTGTGAAGGCTCCGTGTCCCCCATCACAAAGCCTGAATGACCGTGTGCATTCCAGCTCTGTATTTGGTGCCGTCTGCCCCCGTGAGTACCTGGCCCCCAGCCCGGGCTCAGCTGTGACTCTGGAAGGGTCTCTGGTTCCTCCTTGTCTCACCCTATCCCTCACACCCTGCCTGGGCTCTCCTGTCCACCTCCTGCACCTCCTGCACCTCCTCTATCTCCTGCCTGCTCTGTCTGCCCATTGCACTTCAGATATGCTTCTTGGTCCTGGTGCCATCCCCAGTGCCCAGGCCAGGCATCTGTCCCCAGTGTCCACCCAGCTGCAGGGGGGTACAAGGGAACCGAAGTTGGAAGGATCTGAGCTCCTCTGGTTTGAATCCCCATGTGCCAGGCATCTGAGGGCACTTTACAGTCTACAAGGCAGTTTCTCCCTTGACTTATCTGAACCTCATCCCAACTCCTATGAGGTAGTCACTGTTCTCCCATTTCACACAGGAGGGAGTGGAGGTTCAGTCACCTTGAGCTATGGCCCAAGGTCACAGAGCTGGTGAGCGGGGAGCTGAGCCCAGATCTGTGGACTCCAAGCTCCACGTTCTCTCCCAGGGCTCTGCTCCACTTAAGCAAACATTTGTGGTGTCATTTATCTTGGGTTACCCGCTAAGGACGTGGAGGGAGCCCAGGGTGCAGGCGAGGTATGGCGCCCAGCCAACCATGGTCTGTATAGCGCTTCTAGTCCTAGGCTTCTCCTTAGTGGGTATGGCCCTCTCAGGCTAGTGTCTCCCAGGAAGGTTTTTGGCACACATCTCGGATTTCTGCTGCCCCTCCCAGTCCTGCGCCCCGGCACCAGTGCCCGCTCATCTGCCTCAGGCCCTCACCCGACGATGCCAGCTCGGCCACCTTCCCTGCCACCTCTGCCACTGCTGCCACCACTGATTCCACCCCTGAGGGACCCCCAGCAGGCCCCAGGGCCCACCAGACTCTCAAGAGCTCCACGTATTGAGTCCTGAGTCAGCAGGAAGCCCCCTGAGGAGCCCGCCAACCTGTGAGCCCCACCCCCCTGTGCCCCCCACCACCAGGTCCCTTCCTTGTCTCTGGCTGAGACCCAGGGCCTTGAGCCTGGCCCAGAAAGGGTGCTGGGGCCCTGGGTATAGGGAGGGGACCTGTGTAGGGGACCCCCACGTTGACCCAGTGGCTGTTTTATCCTGTGCATATAAATACAAACACAGTGCATGTTCTTATTCTGCATTGCCATACAAACACAGAAGCCAACCGAACTCCTTGATCCATTTTCTTTTTTCTTTTTCTTTTTTTTTTTTTTGAGACGGAGTTTCGCTCTTGTTATCCAGGCTGGAGTGCAATGGCGCGATCTCGGCTCATCGAAACCTCCGCCTCCTGGGTTCAGGCAATTCTCCTGCCTCAGCCTCCTGAGTAGCTGGGATTACAGGCATGCGCCACCATGCCCAGCTAATTTTTTGTATCTTTAGTAGAGACAGGGTTTCACCATGTTGACCAGGATGGTCTCGATCTCTTGACCTCGTGATCCACCCGCCTCGGCTTCCCTAAGTGCTGGGATTACAGGCTTGAGCCACCGCGCCCGGCCCTGATCCATTTTCAGTATAACTCCAAGTGGTTTTTAAAAACACTTTTCCTTTTTAGTTGCTGAATGATTTCATTAGAATCAGTTCTAATTACTGTGGATATCATTTGTCGGCCATTATTTCCAAGACCAATTTCCCCACAGGAGCCAGACTGGACTGTGAGCATTCTTTTGATTTCATGTTATTTCTACCAGTAACTAGGAATTAGATTTTTTTTCAAAATCTGATTTTTTTTTTTTTTAGAGGGAAAAAGAGAAAAAGAAGGGGAAAAAAAAGAAAAAGAGGGAAAAAGGAATATTACTTCATTCCTAAAATGGGTTTCAATAATGGCCGATCAATATTTTGAGTGTTTAAAATGGTTAATGCATATTTTATGTGTTTAAAATGGAGAGCTCTATTGTGTTTATTTGTTCTGGCTCTGAGTTCAAGTCCTGGATATCGTTATCAATTTGTTGTCTCGTTGAATCTGAATCTCATTATGTGTCTTATGTATCTGGGTGTTAAGATCTCTTATTGTTACATTAATCCTTTTACCCTTGCATCCTTGTAGTTTTGAAATCTATTTTATTAAGTGTGAGAATTGCAACTCCTGCTTTTTATTTATTTATTTTTGCTCTCCATTTGGTTGGTGATTTTTTTTTTCCATCCCCTTGTTTTGAGTCTTTGTATATCTTTAGATATATCGTTAGATTTTGTGGATAATGTATATTTTGTGTGTTTAAAATGGAGAGCTCTATTGAGTTTATTTGTTCTGGATCTTAGTTCCAGTCCCGGATATCGTTATCAATTTTCTGTCTCATTGAATCTAAATCTCATTATGGGTCTTATGTATCTGGGTGTTAACATCTCTTATTATTACATTAATCCTTTTACCTTTGTATCCTTGTAGCTTTGAAATCTATTTTGTCAAATGTGAAAATTGCAACTCCTGCTTTTTATTTATTTATTTTTGCTCTCCATTTGGTTGGTACGTTTTTTTTTTTTTTTTCCAATCCTTTATTTTGAGTCTATGTATATCTTTGGATATACCGTTAGATTTTGTCTGTATCTTTTGATTGGGAGGTTTGGTTGATTTAACTTTAGGGTTGCTGCCATTTGATATTAACTGGCTATTTTGTCCTTTCGTTGATGTAAATTCTTCTTTATGTTAATGCTCTTTACTTTTTGGTGTATTTTTAGAAAGGGTCATACTGGTTGTTCCTTTCTGTGTATAATGCTTCTTTTAGAAGTTCTTGTAAAGCAGGCCTGGTGGTAATAAAATCTCTGAGTACTTGCTTGTTCCTAAAAGATTTTATTTTTCCTTCAAATGTAAAGCTTAAATTGGCAGGATATGAAATTCTGGGCTGAAAGTTCTGTTGATTAAGTATATTGAATATTGGCCCCCACTCTCTTCTAGCTTGTACGGTTTCCGTTGAGAGATCTGCTGTAAGCCTAATAGGCTTATCTTTATGGGTTACTTGATCTTTCTCTCTGGCTGCCCTTAATATTTTCTCTTTCGTTTCGATCTTGGTGAATCTAACGATTATGTGCCTTGGGGTTGATCTTCTTGAGGAATATCTTTGTGGTGTTCTCTGTATTGCCTGGGGTTGAATAGTGTCCTGCTTTGCTAAATTAGGAAAATTTTCCTGGATAATGTCCTGGAGAGTATTTTCCAGCTTGACTTCATTCTCTCCGTCACATTCAGGTACACCAATCAAGCGTATATATATTAGGTCTTTTCACATAGTCCCATATTGCTTGGAGACTTTGCTCATTCCTTTTTATCCTTTTTTCTCTATTCTTGTCTTGTCGTTTTGTTTCATTAAGTTGGTCTTCGACCTCTGATACCCTTTCTTCTGCTTGATCCATTCGGCTATTTAAGCTTGTACATATTTCACTAAGTTCTCATGTTGTATTTTTCAACTCCATAAGTTCATTTGTATTCCTCTCTATATTGTCTATTCTTTTCAACATTTCATCTAACCTTTTTTCCAAGTTCTTAGTTTCTTTACATTGGGTTAGAACAAGTTCCTTTAACTCCCAGAAGTTTCTTATCATCCACCTTTTAAAGCCTACTTCAGATAATGGAACACAGTCCTTTTCCATCAGGGCTTGTTCGGTTGCTGATGAGTCCTTTTCCATCAGGGCTTGTTCCGTTGCTGATGGGTTCTGATTTTGAGTATACTCGGCCTTCCTAAGGCTGTTTTTTTCCCTTCATTGTAGATGAACCGCCTTTTTAATTAGGTTTCTGAGTCGACGTTCGACTTATTGATTCCCAGTGCTGGGATCCGAGCAACCCACTGTGGCAGCCTAAATAGCAGCGATAAGACTGATGGTGCTCTTCTGCCCGGGAATCTCTGGTCTGGCTTCCCTCTTGAGTCCGCAACAAGCGGCTCTGACTTCCTGGAGCTCCAAACTCCGGTCAGTAGGGGAAGCAGTCCCGTTGGCTCTGCGTGAAGAGCTGCTGCGCCGAGACACCGGCAAAACCGCTGCGGCGGCCACAAGAGTCTCGCTGGCGACCCGTGGGGCTCCTCCACTGGGAATCGGCTAATCGGTGAGTGACGAAAATTCGTCTAAAGATGTGGCGTCGTCTCGTTCTCTGAGCTTTCACTGGGAGCTACAATCCTGAGCTGTTAGTGGTCGGCCATCTTGGATCGATCCAAATCTGATTGTTTATATTAGCCTCTTGGCTGATCCATGAGGAAGCTGGTGCAGCACCCATGGGATATTCCGGGGTGGCCATCCCATCCAGGGCTGGGTGCTGCTGGCCTCTTTCAAGTCTTTCTGGTTCTGTCCTTACCACCCATGTGTTTGTGGGAAAAAAGCCAACCGTGAGGTCACATCGTGTCACTGTGGCAATTCAGGGACTGGCCTTGGCATGCAGAATAGAGGGCTCCCCCCAAGCCCTGATACCGTGTGACGCTTCTGGCGTCATTTCTTCCCTTTCTCACACCTAGTGCTGTCCAGCTTTGCCCTCTCCTTCTGTACTATTGATGGCTGTAGCCCATCACAGAGACTAAAACAATGTCCCTGTGCAGGGTGAAGCTTGATCCCCTCCATGGCCCCCAGCGTCCACTGGATCCCTAGGGTGGCATCGGGGGGGGAGGTTTGAGGGGCTGGTGGGGAGCCACCAGGAGGGAGCTGGAAGGGGGTCCCCATTCACTCCCCTTTTGCTGCCTGGGGTGGGGGGACTTGGGGCTCCAGACTCTCCCCAGACTCGGTGGCCATCAGAGTCTGGGGACACTGCATGGCTGCTCTGTTCTTATTGTCCCCAAGGTCCCTGGACCAGCTCATTGTGACCCTCCCCCCCCAGCTGGCTGCTCTTTTCTTTCTCCAAGGACTGTGTCCAAATGAAGCTAAGCCCCTCCTGACCCCAGTGACACCTGTCTAAGCTGCTTTGGGGGACACTGGTTGGTGCAGCCCTGGCCCCCACCCTGACCCCTATACCACAGATGAGTATTTTAGGCAACTTCTGCCCAGAACAAAATCTTCTACTTTTTTTATTTTTTATTTATTAAGACACGGTTTCACCATATGGGCCAGGCTGGTCTTTAACTCCCAACCTCAGGTGATCCGCCTGCCTCAGCCTCCCAAAGTACTGGGATTACAGGCATGAGCCACTGCACCCAGCCCCCACTTTTCATTTTTTCTTTTCTTTTTTTTTTTTTTTGAGACAGTGTTTTGCTCTTGTTGCCCAGGCTGGAGTGCAATGGTGCGATATCGACTTACCATAACCTCTGCCTCCTGGGTTCAAGCAATTCTCCTGCCTCAGCCTCCCAAGTAGCTGGGATTACAGGCATGCACCACCATGCCCAGCTAATTTTGTATTTTTAGTAGAGACAAGGTTTCTCCATGTTGGTCAGGCTGGTCTTGAACACCCAACCTCAGGTGATCCACCCACCTCAGCCTCCCAAAGTGCTGGAATTACAGATGTGAGCCACCTCGCCTGGCCAATCTTCCATTTTCTTTCTTTCTTTTTTTTTTTTTTTTGAGATGAAGTCTCACACTGTCGCCCAGGTTGGAGTGTAGTGGGGAGATCTCAGCTCACTGAAGTCTCCATCTCCTGGGTTCAAGCAGTTCTGCCTCAGCCTCCTGAGTAGCTGGGACCACAGGTGTGGTTCCAGCTAATGTTTTTATATTTTTAGTAGAGACAGGGTTTCACCATGTTGGCCAGGATGGTCTCCATCTCTTGACCTTGTGATCTGCCCAACTCAGCCTCCCACAGTGCTGGGATTACAGGCATGAGCCACCACGCCAAATCTTCCACTTTTCTTAACGTGGATGAAGGGACTGGCTGGGTGCCTTCTGTATGGGGAGGTGGGACTTGCTGGTCCCTCCTCCAGCCACCACCTGAGGCTCAGACTGCAGGCAGAAGAGAAGGCACCCAGGGTCACAGAGTGAGAGGCCCCGGCTTGCTGGCCCCCACCAGGAGGCTGAATCTACTGTGACTTCCACCCCATCCTACTTCGAGGAGGCTTGGCTCCCGTTCTTCTGGGCTGAGAGGGGAGGGCTCCTGAGGGACACCAGGCCAGGCCATCTTGACACGTGGCACCCAGGGCATCCCCTGGTCCCACATAGCTGGGCCCCACTCTCCCTTGTGCCTTGCACTACCGTCCCCCCAGGCCCCTCCAAAGTACCTTCTGAGTCTCTTTCTTGGGTGTACAAGCCAGGGCTGGAGTGGGTTTCTGCAGCCCAGCAGGTGGGGAGCAAGGCCCAGGGGCATCTCCTCTGCATTCTCAAAGGGCACCTAGGGGCCTGGGAAGTTGGGGACCCCAGGCCCACAGCAGGCCCGTGGGGAGCAGTCCCGGAAGAAGACAGTGCTGAGGGAGGCTTTGGGACAGGCTGGCCTTGGCCTGGTCCCAGGTAGGAGCTGCAGGCAGAATCCCTCCAACCCACACTAGTGCAGAGGGGTGGGGCGTACAGGCCTTAGAAGCTGTGAGGTGGGAGCTGTGCCTACTCCCTGGGCAGCAGCTGTGGCTTGGGCCAGCACAGTGGCTCACACCTGTAATGCCAGCCGTTTTGGAGGCAGAGGCCGGAGGATCCCTTGAGTCCAGTAGTTCCAGACCAGCCAGGGCAACAATGAGACCCAGTCTCTACGAAAAAAATAAATAGCTATGTGTGGTAGTGCACGCGTGTGGTCCCAGCTGCTTGGGAGGCTGAGGCAGGAGGATCACTTGAGCCCAGGAGGTCAAGGCTGCAGTGAGCTATGATTGTACCACTGCACTCAATACCCTGTCATGAATTGGTCATGTGGAGATGGGAGGGAGGGGTGCGGGCTCTGTGGATGGGGTGGGCAGGAGGGGGAGGGAGGATCCCACCTTGAGGTGCTGCTGGAATGGAGGAGCTGCTGTGTGGTGACCACCCCGTACTGCCAGGCCCAGCCCAACCCACCGCTGCAAGTGAAAGGTCACTGAACACGTTCTCCCGTTTCAAGGACTGTGAACTCATTGACACTAAGGGATAAACCACGGAGGCCGGCACACATGTGTTCCAGCAAGATGGTTGGCCATGGAAAAGGCACTGCGAGTACCCGAAGTTGGACCACCCCGGGTGGAAGTGCAGGCACCAGACGGAAGGGCCTTGTGTGCAGCCCTTCTTAGGGACGCTGGAATCAACACGTGCTGCCCCCCAGCTCCTCGTACCCACCGTCCTGGCTGGCTTGACCTCTGACTCTCCATGGATGGGGGAGCTCTAGGCAGAGACCTCTCTCGATTTGCTGCGCTGGGATGTGGGCAAAACGACTCCATCCGGATCGCGGCTTTGCGATTCCCCAGGAGGTGAGAGATGCCCCCAAGAAGCAGAGCAGAATTTTGCCAGCAGGCTCCCCAGTGCTGGTGCTGTGCCATTGACAAGTCCTTGGTCATCCTGGAAGGGGCCCCCCAACTCCTGCCTTCCCCAGAAGAACTTGGCAGCCCTTCACCTCAAAAACAGCTGTGTTCTTTTAAGGCTCTGTTGAAATACATCCGTTGCCCAAATATGAGCAGTGGCTCAAAGACCCAGAGAACCTTCCAAACACAGGAATTAGAAGTAGCCTTGTGTGAAAAGATCTCCATTCTGGCCAGCCTAGGAGGTCTCCCCCACCTGGGGAGGAAGACGGGAGTCAAAGGACTCGTCTGTCCTGTGCTGAGGACTGCTGTGAAAGTCCCTCAGAGACCTCCAGGGCCACAGCAGCCCCACCCACCCCCGCAGTCAGCCTCGGAGACAGCCTGGTTCCCTGTGGCTGCCCGCAGGGTGTTCTCAGAGAACCCTGGCTGGACCACTGCAAAGACCCTGGGGACACTCAGCAGCCCCCGGTGAGTACCCCTCGTCTGAGAGCATCTCACAGAACAAACCGTCTCTTTTCACAGCCCTTTCCAGAGGGAGCCCTCCCTGCCACCATTCCTCCCATCCCACTGGGCAGGGCATTTACTTCTGAAACTCCTCATGGTGAAAAAACAGACCCCCTTCAGGGATTCCAGCCAATTCCCTCGCAGGAGTTGGACTTACATGTGTCCATGGTGGCTGGCAGTGTGGAGCAGGCTGGCAGGGCAGGCCAGGCCGTGTATCTAGTGCCATGGTCAATTTCAGCCCGTTATGGTCTTAAGGGAATTTGCACCAAATCTTCCAGTTTCCAAGATAAGTCAGAAGTGAGGCTTTTCCCATAAGCCCTCCTGCTTTTGTTTTTCATTTGTTCGCTCTTGTTGCCGAGGCTATCTTATGGCACTATCTTTGCTCACTGCAACCTCTGCCTTCCAGATTCAAGTGATTTTGCTGCCTCAGCCTCCCTAGGAGCTGGGATTACAGGTGCCCAGCAAGCACCATGCCAGGCTAATTTTTTGTATTTAGTAGAGATGGGGTTTCACCATGTTGGTCGGGCTGGTCTTCAACTCCTGACCTCAGGTGATCCACCCGTCTCAGCCTCCCACAGGGCTGGGATCACAGGTGTGAGCCACCATGCCTGGCCTAACCCTCCAGATTTTAAAATGTTGGCAAATATGTTTTTAAAAAGTAAAACATGGGCCAGGTCCAGTGGCTCATACCTGTAATCCCAACCCTTTGGGAAGCCAAGATGGGTGAATCACTTGAGCCCAGGAGTCTGAGACCAGCCTGGGCAACGTGGTGAGACCCCGTCTCTACAAAAACAAAAACAAGTAAAATACAGCACGCCAGCCAAACAGCACACATTGGGGACTGTGAGTTTGCACACCCGTAAGACAATGTGTCCTTCCCGTTACAGACTGGAAGGTGCGCCTGCTGTTTGTCACCTGGTGAGGCCGGGCCTTCATTCCCCGGTGCTGCCAGGGACGTGTTTGGGAATCAAGACACGTCAAGCACTTGCTTTTGAGCCACCTCAGAGATGTGTGCAAATGATGTTTTTTTGTTTTGTTTTGTTTTTGAGACAGAATTTCATTCTTGTTGTCCAGGCTGGAGTGCAGTGGCATGATCTCAGCTCACCACAACTTCTTCCACCCGGATTCAAGCGATTCTCCTGCCTTAGCCTCCCGAGTAGCTGGGATCACAGGCACGCCCCACCACACCCGACTAACTGTACTTTTAGTAGAGATGGGGTTTCTTCATGTTGGTCAGGCTGGTCTCAAATTCCCAGCCTCAGGTGATCCACCACCGTGGCCTCCCAAAGTGCTGGGATTACAGCCATGAGCCACCCCACCCCGGCTGCAAATGGTGTTTCTTAGAGTGAAATTTTGGTCAGTAATGAGATCTTTAGTTAAAAATGGCAAAAAAAAAAAAAGAGTGAAATTTTGGTAATAATCAAAAGTCATTTGGAGCTCAAGTCTGCTGGGCAAGGAGGGTCGTGACCAAGCCCTGGAGAGGCTGGACTGTCAAGGAGCATGGCGGGTTTTCCTGTGTCACTTAGGCAGCTTCCAGGCTGTGGCGAAGATGAAGGCCTGTAAACATGAGTCTGCTGTGCTAGTTCAGCCAGCGTACACTTTAACACATACTAGGTTGTCACTGGCTCCATTACTTTTGAGATGGAGTCTCATTCTGTCACCCAGGCTACAGTGCAGTGGGACCATCTCAGCTCACTGTGACCTCCTGCCTCAGCCTCCCGAGTAGCTGGGATTACAGGCACATGCCGCTATGCCTGGCTAATTTTTGTGGCCAGGAGTTCAAGATCAGCCCAGGCAACATAGCAAGACCCCATCTCTACAAAACATTTTTTTTAAAAATTAGCCAGGTGGGGTGGTGTGTGCCTATATGTAGTCCCAGCTACTTGGGAGGCTGAGGTGGGAGGATCACCTGAGCCCGGGATTTCAAGGCTATAGCGAGCTATGATTGCATGCCTGAATACAGCAAGACCCTGTCTCTAAAAAGCAAAGCAGTCAGATTTGGGGACCCGCCTCCAGAAGAACTGCCTCAAGGGAGAGGCCAGGAACGTGGGCGTTCAACAAGCACCCAGGGGGATCGTCTGCAGGTGCCCACTCATCATGTCGGGGGCATGGCTAGACGGGCACATCAGAAACCTGGGAGCTGTTTTATTTTCAGTAAGAGCTTTGAGGTATAATTGACACACCAGAACGTTCACCTTTCTGAAGCATGCCATTGAGTGCTTTTTGGTGCAGTCACAGATCAGTCACCATCATCTACCCGGGGAGCTTCCATGATCATACGTCAGGCCCTTGCCCCTGAGTCTGATGCCATGAGGCCCAGGAACCTGTGGTTTGCTGGTTTTATTTTACCTGCTGTGCAGCCAGGTATGAGAACCACAGAACTAGCACAGAGGCACTCCACTGGGGCCATGGTGACCTCTAGGGGACATTAGCACTGCAAATACTTCTGATTGTCCCAGTAAGGGGGCTGCCCCTGGATGCAGTGGGGAGCGCTCAGGGATACTGCTCAGCACCACTGAAGGGACAATGACAGCCCTCCATGTCAACAGTGACCATGCTTAAAAAGCCAGCCCTGCAGGAACCTCAAGTCTCTTCCACCCTTAATGTGACCACTTGAGAGCCCCAAGCCCAGTCCACAGTGGCCCCCAGAAACAGAAATGGGGATAGTGGGACAGTGTCCCTGGTGTTTAGTGACGATGTTGTATAGGGACACTTTATAAATTTTGATGTCTATTTGGAACCAGGGTCTTCTGTTGGAATCAGATTCTGATTCAGGGAGTCTGGGTTGCAGCCTGACTCTAATAAGCTCCTGGGTGATGCTGGGGTCGAGACCGTGCCTTGAATAGTGAGGGTGTGGTCCACTGCAGGCCGCCCCAGGGCTCACGGTTTAATAAAATGGCACTCCCCGCTGGGTGCAGTGGCTCACGCCTGCAATCTCAGCTTTGGGAGGCTGAGGCAGGTGGATCACCTGAGTTTAAGAGTTCGAGACCAGCCCGGTCAACATGGTGAAACCCCATCTCTGCTAAAATACAGAAGTTAGGCCAGGTGCAGTGGCTCACGCCTATAAACCCAGCACTTTTGGAGGCCAAGATGGGAGTATCACAAGGTCAAGAGATTGAGACCATCCTGGCCAACATGGTAAAACCCCGTCTCTACTGAAAATACAAAAAATTAGCTGGCCATGGTGGTGCACGCCTGTAATCCCAGCTACTCAGGAGACTGAGGCAGGAGAATCACTTAAACCTAGGAGTTGGAGGTTGCACTGAGCTGAGATCACACCACTGCACTCCAGCCTGGGCAACAGAGTGAGACTCCATTTAAAAAAAAAAAATTAGCCAGGCATGGTAGAGGGCGCCTGTAGTCCCACCTGCCTAGGAGGCTGAGGCAGAGCTGCTTGAACCTGGGGGACAGAGGCTGCAGTGAGCTGAGATCATGCCACTTCACTTCAACCTGGGCGATCGAGAAAGCCTCCATCTCAAAAAACAAAAACAGCACTCCCGAGCCTCCCACTGTGCAGTCCTGGACTTGACTGCCTCATGTGTGGCGGACACGTGCAGCTTAGCATGTGACAGGTGGGAGAGTCAAAGGGCACTCCACCCCACACTGCAGATTACCCCAAAACATTTCTCTGCAAAACATTTTTTCACCACTGGAAGGCGATTTCCTGATAATTTTTTTTCCATCTCAAAGAATGGAGGAACTGCAAAATGAAGACTCAGGAGACCAGAGATGTCTTCCCTCTCCTGCTGCTGTGTTCTCTCCCTCCCCTGCTACCCAGGCACCCCAGGCGGATGCAGGAGGCTGGCTGGCCAGGGCCCCCCATCCTGTAGGCTCCAAGAGGCCATTACAAAGGCGGGTTCCCAGGTGGACCCATTCCTGGGAAGCAAGCATGGCTCCAGTGGGGGTCGCAGCAGTCAGTCGCCAGTGCCAAGCAGCCAGTGAACGGCCGCCACAGGCAGGCTCTGTCAGCACAGCCTCTGCAGGTTCCAACTGGGTGGAGATGAAGCCAGGCACTGGTGTGGCAAGAGCACCAAGGCATGCTTCCTGAGAGGCACAGCCACATCCCTGGGAGCCAGGAAGGGTCAATGGGGAGCATCAGATGCCAGGCGAGCACATGATCTTCAGAAAGATGCTCTCCCACTCAGGTGGCAGGGCTCCCTCCACCAGGGGCTGGTGCTTAGATGGGAGCGAGCGTTGCCCGTGAGCAGCTGTGAGCTGAGCCCCATGGAGGTGTTGCAGAGGTTCCAGTCTCCCTTCTGCCCCAAGTCCAGGCCCACTCTTGGGGGTGTGTGAGGCTGAGGGTACATTCTCCTAAGGCTGCTCTAGCTCATCCCAGGCAGCCTCGGGTTGCCTATCTCCTAAGTGACCCAACATCTGTGCCCCCTTTGCCAGCAGCACTCTGCCATGTCCTTGTCTCCTGCCCTGTTCTCTGGCCCTTGTGAGCTTCCCTGGCTCTGTCTGCTCAGAGGCCCTGCCCTGCCCTACCCAGTGTCTGCTGGAGGCCTGGCTCAGAGGGTCCAGCCCGTGCCCAGCCACTGGAGCCACAACCAAGAAAGGTTGAGATGAAACCCAGGACAGAAGGCAGGTGTGAGCCCTATGTGCTCCTAACCAGGTGCAAGGATCTGTCCAGCCAAGCAGGGGCAGGGGTGGGCTGACAGGATGGGGACCCAGGCTGGGAACTAACTTCACAGGAAAAGCCCTGGGTGGACAGGAAGATTCCACAGCACACTGGCTGATCAGGGCAACAGGCAGCAGTGTGCAGCCAGGGTAGCTGGGGGTGGCCCTGTCCTCTGGGCAGCACCCCCCAGAGCTAGCTGGCAGCAAGCCTCGTATACAAGGTAAGACCACAGAGCCTGGCAGTGGTTTGGAATTCGTTCTTCTCTTTTGTTAAAAGGGGGAAAGGAAGTGGATGCGGGTACCCCCAGGAGCAGGGGGAGGCATGCAGGCGGCCCCAGCAGGCAGGCGCTGGGAGGCGGTGGCAAGAGTCCTGGAGTTTCCCACAATCCTTTTCTCTGCAAGGAACAGCAATGCTGGCTGATGAGGGGGTGGGGCAGGAGGCAGGGCCCTGGGGAGGGGGCAGCGGGCATAGGGCTGGGGGCTCACTCTAACATGCAAAGTCCAGCTGCCCCGGGAACTAAGTTGCTTCTGAGGAGCGACACATGTAGAAATACACAGACACGGCCACGCGCACACATGCGGAGAGGCTCTGCATTCCCTAGGGTGGGGGTCGAGGCCTGCCGGCCCCCAAGGAGCTCCAAGCCAGGGATCAGTGATGTCTCCGCCAGGGTGGTCCTCTGCGGTACCCCTGGGCCAGGTGGGGCAGGTTCGTCTTCGAAGGAAGGCCGTGTGGTCTCTGAAGTTCTGTCTGCCAGGCACCCAAGCTGCTCTGAACCACTCCATGTGCCGGGCCATGACCTTGCATGTGGGCAGCTGCGTGTTCTGGCACCAGACATGTCCCTGCCTGGCTAGAGTCCGTGCTTTCCCCTCCAGGGCTCCAGGGACCAAGGGGTGCAGACATAAAAGGGGTGAAGGGGACCCGCGGAGACGTCCTCTCCCCCGCCCCACAGGGTCCTGGCCTCCGGGAGGGGGGAGGGGCCTCCCTTATCTCTCTGCCTCCATGGCAGGGTGGGCCCTGGGTTCCGAGGTGGCCTGTTGGGGGGCCAGGGGTGGCCAGTCTGAAGCCGGAGAAGCGGGTGCCGGAGTCCACAGGGGTGGCTGTGGCTGGTGGTGCTGTGGGCCCCCTGGGGGCGAGGCGGCCGTGGGCCAGCTGGGGGCCGAGAAGCTGCCCGTGGCGGCATGGGGGAAGTGCGGTGGGGGCGACGTGGCTGTCGCAGCCATCGGGCTGCCGCTGCCACCGCTGTGGAAACTCTCGGAGGCCTTGAGACGGGAGAACATGGTGAGAGCGTCGGGGAAGTTGGGGGGTGTGGCGGGGGTGTTGGCAGGAGTGCACATCTGTAGGGGGAAGAGAGGAGAGATGGGGTGAGCACCCCTTCCTGGAGGGGCCCCCACTGCCTCCCAAGGGGAGATGAGTGACTTCCACATTCTCAGAAGGCTCTGCGTCCCTTCCCCAACTGCCCCAGCTGGTCTGTCGCCCAGGGGCTCCCACTGAGGGCCTCCCAGAGAAACCCAGAGATGAACCCACCTGGCCTCACTCTGGGCAGCCCAGTACCTGGGGCCATAAGGCTTTCCCAGCCCACCTCCTTCCCCCAGCCACAGCATCCCAGGGGTGCTGTAGGATGAGCACCTTCAATGACCCAGAGGCCAGCGCCCCACAGGTCTCACGGGGAACTGGCAAGGCAGGATTAAATGCAGGACCCACGAAGCCACCCATCTCCAAAGAGGTCAAATCCCCGCCTCCACCAGTGCCCTCACATATGTGGGCCAGGGGCTGCTTATGCATGGAACTAGCTTCGCCTCCTTCCACCCTATCCAGAACTGGGGGCACTGGGGACACTTACCATCTGGTGGTGGTGGTGGCTGTAGGGGATGTTGGTCTCCTGGAAAAAGGCGCTGAGGGCTGTCTGCAGGAAGGAAAGCGCCTGCTCACCCGCCAGGCCCCTGCTGGCCCTGCCGCGCTGCCCTTGTTCCCCTGCTCCTCTGAGGCTAGGGATGACCCTGGCTGGACCAGTGAGTGGGAGGGGCAAGTCTCGGAACTGAGGCCCAGTGGCTTGCCTGTCACCTCCAACCCTCACTGCTGTCCAAGGAAGAGCCATGGAACACATGGGCAGTTTGGGTGCCCGCCCTTCCCCTGCTGCTTGCCACCTGCCTCAGTGCCTAAGACCTGCAGAGCCCCCTCCGCACCATGAGTGGGGGAGGGTGGGCAGTACCCTCACCCCATCCTGGGGGTAAAGGCAGCATGGCCCTAAGTAGTCCAACCAGAACCCCCACCACCATCTTGTTTCAGGAAATTCTAGCCCGCTGTGACCACCATGACAGGTAGGAAGTCTCTACTCTTCTCTAAGCCTTGGTTTCCTCATCTTTGAAGCTGGGGCATCTTGCAGGAGTCTGAGCCTGGCAGGTGGGAACCCCTGCTGCCCCATCCAGCTCTGCTTCTGGCTGATCAAGGGGCCACTGTTTGGGCCTTGCTTTCTCCATCTGTACCACAAAGAGTCTGGACTAAGTGGCTTCCAGGGTCCCCTTTCTTGCAACAGTGATCTCCTAAGATCACTAGATTCCATCAGGCAGGGCCTGGCACCAAGTAGACAAGCCTGGGCTTTAGGCTCACTCACTCACCCACCCAAGCTTCCCTGGCAACAGCACCCAGGTGGTGGAGCAGAAAGACAGCCCTAGGACTGAAGCCACCATGGGTTCACAACAGCTCCAGGCACAGCTCTCCAGCTACCCGCTCTTGGCTTGCACCATGACAGGCACATGACGCTCCACAGTGGGGCCACATGCCACACTGATCATGGTGCGGGCACCCAGCAGGTCTCCCTCCCAGTGGGATCATGGATTGTCATTGTTCACCGCACAGGCAGGGAAATGAAGGTAGGAAGTGACTTGCTGAGGGTCAGTGGAGGTCAGCGACTTGCTGGTCAGCAAGAGACAGAGAAGGGAGTGCTCAGGAACAGCCAGGGCAGGTGGGGGAGGGAGAGAGAGCGAGCCCGGAGCCCTTTCCTGTGTGTGTCAGTTCGGCAGGCTTCAGAGGTCCTTGGTGACTGGGAGCTGAGGAGCCCCAGAGGGAGGCGCTGGAATTTGCTAAGTCCTGGCTGGGGCCCGGCAGGGGTGGGGAGGCCCGTCCCAGAGAACTGAGGCTGCTCTCGCACAAGGGCCAGTGAGGGAGCCCCGCAAGTGTGTGAGGGGTCCTTGGGACCCTGCCAAGTTCCAGGCCCAAACTTGGAGCTTCAAGCAGCTGAGGTGCCTCACTGCCACCCCTCAGGCCCACTCCCCCAATGCCAGATTGACTTTCTGGCTCTCCCAGACCTGGCACACCCAGAACTCCAGACTGTTCCTGGGATCTACCCTCAGTTAGGGGGATGGGGGTAGGGGGTCTTCTATGTTTTTAAAAATCATCTGGGAAATTTCCTGCAGGAGACATCCTACCTGGGTGTCCCCAGACAGGGGTGGTGTGGGAGCTCAGGCATGGGGGCTGGTCTTTAAGCACCTTCCCAGATCCCAAGATCCTCGGTCAGCGGCGGCTGTGTCCCAAAGCCCAGGCTCGCTGTGCAAATCCCAACCGGAACCCCCTCTACAGGCCGCTGTGTATATTCTCCACTGAGAAACATCTGCCCCGATAGACACAGGCCCCTCCTCCTGCAGCCTCCTGCCCCCATTAGCACCTGAATTGCAGTGAAAGTGACCCAGAAACACCGGCTGGTGGATGCGGGTGGAGCGTGGAGGGGGATGGGGTGGCCACATGAGCCCCTCACTCACCCCCATTCCAAGGCCTGAAGTCCTGTCACCTTTCTTCAGCCTCCCTGGCAGCTTCCACTTTACAGATGGCCCAACTGAGACTCAGCAGATGGAGGGCACAGGGCTCCCACCACGGGGTCACTGGGAACCACCAGGGGCTCCTGCCTCTCCTGGGAACAGTTTTTCCCCTCCTGGGAACAGTTTGGTGCCCTGATGACACACCAAATGCATGGGGTGGGGGGCTGTGCATGTGAGTTAGAGTTTTCAGTTAACCCTGCCGCTGACAGAAGTGGCTCGGGTGACTGCTGGGTGCCAGGCTCTGAGGGCTGGGCTGAGTCCCGCAGGCAAGGCCCGCCTCCCACCAGACACCTGCCTGCCAAGCCCCAGGCAGGAAGGGAACCCTGCATGCAGATGTGGGACTGCCATGAATGTGGTTTTGCAAGTTTTGCTACATCCAACCCTTGACACAAACAGGGCTGATGTGAGCTGTGGAGGAGAGGGGGGCAGCAAGGAGCTTCCTCCAGGTGGGGCTGCCTTGGGGAACAGGGTGCAGTGAGCTGGCCATCAGAGGCTGACTCACAGCTCCCCTCTACAACATACAGATATGGAAACAGGCCAGAAGGACAGAGCAGCCTCCCACCTCCCAGAGTGAACACCACAAACGGTCAGTAACCCCCAAGACCTCTGGTAGGAGGGAAGTGGACAAGGAGGGAGGGATGGAGTCATCTGACTGGGATGGCCACTGCCTTCCCAGACTATCCCAAGCTTGGGACATTCTGATCCCCATCCAGTCCCAAGGAGGCAGAGCCCCAGAGTCCTCTAGCTCCTGGTACCTCCTGCAGGCCCTGGCATGGCTCCTCATGGAGAAACCAGGTTTCCAGTCCCCAGTTGGGCACGGATGGTACGATGGCTTAGGCCGTGACCCTGCCTGTGAGGGGCACAGCTCATGGGGCTCTGGCCTCATCCTCAGATACTACCATGGGGTTAATCCTGGGGTGGGTGAATTAGGGAAGGCCAGGTAGCCTCTGGGCAGCAGAAGCCAAGAACACTACTGCCCTGTGTGTTAAGGGAGGCCCGGGGGAGTGGGTGCCAGATTGGGGCAGCCTCACCTCCTAGCCAGCTGGCCTGAAAGCTGGTGAATTGTGCACCTCCCCGGTGCACCGGCAAAGGCACAGATACCCCTGCCAGCCCCTGGGGAGCACCTGGACTCGAGCATGGAGTCCCCAGGCACACCTCTGGAGGGGGTACATGCTCATCCCTATGCTG